TTTAACTGGTTTTAATGTAATACAAAGTTATTTTGATGATGAACCAGAAACTGAGGATTTGAGGGTAAAAAAATAGAAAATTTTTGAGGAAATTTTTTTGAAAAACTCGTGAATTGAGGTTAAGGTTGACCTCAGATTCGTCGGATAGAATTTTTTCGAGGAACGGGGATGTCGGGTGAATGAACTGACGAGAATCGGAGTCGGTGAATGAGCTGTCGGGGATCAGAGCCGTAGAACGGTCTGAAAATCGTTGTCAGGTGAGGAAGGGAAATCGGGTTCTGTCAGGCGAGGAAAGTGAAATCTTGCTCTGTCAGTGGAGGAAAAGAAATCGGGCTCGTGGACAAATTATAGAATAGCTGAAAGTTAGGATAACATTATTAAACTTATTCTGATTTAAAAATTAAAACTAAAAAAATTTAAACAAATTTACTTTTTAATAGGCTTATATTAAATTATTAATTGGTGACATTTTTGAACGTGAATTAGATAAACTTGCAGATTGGGAACCTGGAGATGGAGAAAAACATTTCTTTAATGAGTAAATTAATTGATTTAAAATTATTTAAAAAATTTAATTTTTTAAAGTTTACTTCGTCAACGAATAATTCAAAGAATGTGTACTTTAAGAGATTCGCGGTGTATAAACGCCATTCTTGATATTTATCGGCGTCAATTTGTGGATTCGTGCACAGATTTTATTTCAACAGAAAATAATGGGAATAATTCAGGGTGAAGATTTTTTTGAGAAAAAATTAATTTTATATGTCGGGATACTGAGGGATTGTGATAGAGGGATGTGTTTAGGAAATTTAAATCGGTGCCAAATAGGTGAGGGATTGGGGATATTTGAGAATAGGTCAAGATAAAGATTTTGGGGAGAAGCTGGGATAAGTTTTCGATAAAAGGTTGGATAAGAAGTCTCAGCTCGCCGTGATGAATCGAGTGACTTATAATTCGACCCGTTTTGGAGCTGGCCCTTCCACAGTTGATTTTGGAGAAAAGGATAGGATAAAGATTTTGGCTCTTTAGTTAATTTCACCTCAAATTTTTTTCTATTTTCTTGTTTAGATCACCACCTTCTTTACCACATAAACCAGGAAGAAAAATGGCTAGTCAATGTTCCAAAATCCCTGTACCTTTCCGAACTCTAGCATATTGTGAAGGTGTTCATTATGGAACGGAACAAGATTGGAATTTAATTTTGGAATTATTTAGAAATGAAATTGTTCAAGTAGAGAAGGAACGTTTACTTGTTGCCTTGGCATGTTCTAGAGATACACATACTTTAAAAATGTAAATTTAATTAAAATTTTTTAAATTTAAATTTTTGAAGGGAGATTGATTAAGAATGAAGGTTTATCACTAAGTTTGCTAAAATGTACCAACTCGGACCGAAAGATCGAGTCGTGCCTAAGATATTTGGCTCGAAAAAGACCCCGACTCGATAAAAAGAAGCCCAAAAATGATTCGACCATCGGCCCGACTCGTAAACGGCAACCCTATTTATCACATCTTTTTAGATTTAAAAATATTTTGAAATATTTTTTAATCAAAAATTGGGAGGAAAAAGTGTAAAAAAACAAAGCTGCTTTTTCTCCAATTGGGAAAAATCCGATTAATGTTGGCTTTCGAATGGTATAAGATTTACTTTGATGGGATCAAGGCTAATTGTTTAACGTTAGCTGGCACTCAGTCTTAGTTGACCCGTTCCTTGAAAATTTACTCAAACTTCTTCTCATCCTCTTAAAAATTTTCAAATATTTTTTAAGGCTTCTTACAATGGCCAGTGATGTAAATAGTACAATTATCCGTTTACAAGACAAACCTTCAGTATTTACACATGTTGGAAGTAGAATTATTGGAAAGAAAATAATTTTGGATTTCTTTATTGATAGATGGCCAAGAATTTATCAGGAGTAAGAAAAGAGGGGGAATTAAAAAATTAATTCCTTTTTAAAGCTTTAAAGACCAACAAACTTTATTACGTTCAATTATTTCTTCATCAATTGTAGGCAAATCTCAAAGGGTTATTGATCAAGTAGAAAACTTTCTTCGTGAAAATCAAAAAACTACAAAGTGGGAAAATTTTTTTTTTTGATTTTTAAAAAATTTTCCCAAAAAAATTTTTTAAGGAAAAATTTTAAATCCAAAAAAAATTTTTTTTAATTTCTAAAATTTCTTGGAAAAAAATTTTTTTGGAATTAAGGAAATTTTTTTGAAAAAAATTTTTTTTGAAAAATTTTTGAAAAAAATTTCTTGGAAAAATTTTTGGAAAAAATTTTTTGGAAAAATTTTTGGAAAAATTTTTTTTTGGAGTTTAAAAAAATTTTCCAAGTGAATTTTTTTCGATAAAATCCAAATTTTTTTCATCTTTTTTTAATTAATTCAATATTTTTTTCAGAAATCTGGATGTATTTAAACAACGTTTGGAAGTTCTTCAAACCAATACACGTTGGATACAGAAAAATTTTAACAAATTAGCCCAATGGTTTAGGTAAATAAATATACATATTACTTAAAATTTCAAAAATTAATTTTAGAGAGCATAATGGTCAAAATGGGAAAACTTTGCTTTTAAACGAGGAGGAAATGCAAGGGGGCCCATTCCCTTCGCCTATTATGGCAAAATTTAAATAAATTTATTATATGTATTTTTAATTTTAATTATTATTAGGGTTTTTAGGGGAAAGAAAATTTTTAGGAGAAAGAAAATTTTTAAGTCTGAAAGATTTTTAAGTTTGAAAATTAATATTGTATTCCTGAGAAATAATGTTCCCTTCACTCTACCATAGAGTGAAGGGAACATTTTGTTCATAAACTTTTAAATTTTTCTGGTCTGAAAATTTTTCTGGGTTGATGTTTCTATTCCTCAATATCAAATAATTATTGTTAGTAAGGGATGGAAAGGTTCCAGTTTCGGAACTGGAACCGAAGAAATTCAAAAAGCAGGGAACCGGTTCCAGAGAAATTTTGTAACTTTTCCATCACTGATTGTTAGTAAAGGATATCCCTGTATATTTCCCGATTTTTTGACTAAACATTCCTGGATTTGATCAATTTTTGAGCAGATCGATTTCTGTTGGAAAGATATATTTTTACTGTTTAAGGAAAATTTCAAACCTTAATAATTTTTATAAATTTTTTGTTTTGTTGCAATTTATTTTTTGGTCAAATAATTTTTTTCTTGGTGTTTTTATTAAATATTCCACACATTTTATCTCATTCAATTGTCGCGCAATCTTTTTTTTCTTTTCTTTTAAATTTTAGTTTTTTTTGAAAATATTAAATATTTAATTGCTATAAAATTTAAATTTAGTAGAATAAAAAATTTATATAAAATATGTTAAATAATTATTTAATTATGAAAAATTCTGTTAGGTTTTGAGCTTATAAAGGTTAGCACAGGCTTTTAGGTTTGAATTTTTAGGTCAAGTTATTATTAGAGTTCGAGATTTTTGAAAAGCCTGGGCCTGTTCCTGGACTCTAGGTTTGATTTATTAACCTAGGCAGGATTCCGGGCTTGTAGTCAAGGAAAAATCCAGGCCCAGGAAAAACGCAGGAAGGTAAAAAAAATGCCTAGGCCTGGACTCTGGGTAAAGGAAAAACTCAGGCCTTGGAACCCAGGCCCAGCTAGATCTCTAGTTATCATTATTAAATTTTAATTAAAACTTGATTTATATTTTAATTTTAAACCTACAGAGGTTTAAATTTGAACTTGAGCAATTTTTGTAAGATGCTACCATGTTCCTTTCACTCTACAATGTTCCCTTCGCATTACCCCTTTTCTCCAAAATTATTCAACCAAGCTTTTATCCAAACATTTACATAAATAACTTGTTTATCTAGTTATTTTTAATTCGGATTAATTCGTTTTAGACTTGAAAAAAATTTTTAACTCAAAACCTCAAATTTCGAAATTCTCAAACAAACAATCAATCACTTTAAAAAACTCATGATTGCCAAATCAACTGATTTAATCAATAAAAAAAATCAAAAAGCGTGGCCATTAGGCAATGTTGATTTGACAATATCCCCTCTCTATAGAGAAAGAAAAAAGGAGAGATAAGAGGGATAATGTAAAAAAAAAGAAAATTCTGGATTTATTAACATTGCGCAAGGCTGTTTGCGCAGCCTATATTTTCCCTCTCTTTCCTTATCCTCCACCTATTGTATATGTACATATTTGCCACATCATCCTGCGCTAGTTGGACGTCCTCTTGATTGCTTTCCCTTTCCTTAACAGCACTTTTAAATTTTTTTTTATTTGACGTTAAACGCTTTTAGAGGTAATTTGTATATAAATTTTGAGGTTTTTAATTTTTTTAAAATATTAGATGAAAAGTTTTATGCTAATCATTCTTCTACAAGTATTTGTCTTTACTCAAGGTGATGGAGAAAATCCGGAAACGAATTTAGGTGAGTGAAATTTGGAATTAAAAAGTGGGGGTTAGGGGCTTATAGTCAGGATGTTCCCTTTACATTACCTTATGGTTCCCCTTGCACTACGGGTTTGGATTACTCTCTTCGAACTAGCCCAATATTCCCTTAGTAGCCAATGTTCCTTCCTAATGTTCCGTTCGCACTACCCCCAATGTTCCGTTCACATTACTCCAATGTTCCCTTCGCACTACCCCTAATGTTCCCTTCAAACCCCAATGTTCCTTCCACACTACCCCAATGTTCTTTTCACATTACCCCAACGTTCCCTTCACATTATTATTGTTAGAAAATATCTTTAAAAATATTTAGCAGTTCCACCAAATACAACACAAGCAACACCTTCAGAGGTTCTTAGTCAACTGGCTCAATCCTTAACTCCATCTCCTGAAAGCCCTAATACTGTAATGCCAGTACCTCCTCTAAATATGACAGAAAACTTAGGGGTACCTCAAAGCGAATTAACAATGACAACAACACCTATGCCTATAACTATAACAACTGAAGAAACAACAACTACAAACACTACTGGAGGTTTAATTTAAAAGAATTGTTTAATTGGATAAGACTCAGAATAGGCCAAAATTAAAGGAGAGGTGTTCAGAGGGTGGATGTAGGAAATCTAGAAGGAACCATACATGTTCCTTTGCATTACTCTTATGTTACCTTCACATTACCCTGATGTTCCTTTTGCATTACTCTTATGTTCCTTCGCATTACCTCATGTTCCCTTCACATTACACTTATGTTCCCTTCACATTACCCTGATGTTCCCTTCACATTGCGTTGATGTTCCTTTGGGGAAGAGATTCTCTCTCCTTTGAGGAAGAGAGTTTGAGGAACTCGTTCTTTGGGAAAGAGCCTTCCATTTCTTTATTTAAAAATTAAAAATTTAAGCACCGTCAACCGAACCAACGAATACTTCATATTTCATCATTGGCCCACCAGTTCAAGATGTGGTAAATACCAATACACCTACACCTGAAACAACTCCCACAACACCTGAGGTTCCAACAACACCTGAAGTTCCGACTACAACAGAAGCCACAACAACCCCTACAACTGCAACAACCCCTACAACAGAAGCAACCACCACTACAACTCTTCCTCCTCCAAGCCCCGCCCCTCAGCCTCCATTTGCAGGAGCTTCAACTGCAACAATGACTTGGAGTATAATGGCGATTTGTTTGACTATGGTTTTGTTGGCTTTGAGTTATTGAAGAATTGTGCTGAAGCAAAAAAAGGAAAAAAAGGAAGTGATGATATGATTTTACTGGGGAGGACGAACACCAACCAATTTTTTTATATTTTTTTTTTTTAAATTTTCCCCTATTCAAAACTATTTTTTAAAAGATTGATTTTATTATTTAAATCGTTACAAGTATTGCTATTTATTTTTTTAACGTATTATTTATTTCTTTATCCAGTAAACAGTATAAATTTAGTCTTGTTTTAATTATATAGTTCTGGGAAAATATTGTTCTGATTTTGTTTTGAAATCATTCTAATTTTATTCTAAAATCGTTCTGATCTTGCTATAATTTTATTCTGAATTGTTCTGATTTTATTCTGATTTTATTTTAAATAATTCTGATTGTTCTGTTTTATTCTGACTGATTTTTGTTCTGATTTTTATTCTGATTTCTGTTCTGATTTTTATTCTGATTTCTGTTCTGATTTTTGTTCTGATTTTATTCTGATTTCTGATTTTATTCTGATTTTTATTCTGAACTGATTCTGATTTCTGATTTTATTCTGATTTTTATTATGAATTTATTCTGATTTTTATTTTGAACTTGTTCTGATTTTTGTTCATTTTCTTTACTTTATTCTGGTATTAAAAATCAGAAAAATCATAAAACAAAATCAGAATTAAAAATATTCTGGCATTTAAAACAGATTTCACATAATTTATCTAAACCAGAACAGCTCCTTCTTTCTCATCAATCTTTTCATTATTAGTAACATCAATAAATTCATCATTATTGCCTTCTTCTTCTCTTCCAAATTTAGTAATTTTATTTGGTATATTTTCATTATTATTTCCATTCCTCCCATAATTCCCCCCTATTCCATAACCAAAAAATGTAGCCAGTTGAATTGGGCCTTTTTTCTGAAATTTTATTTGTTCTTCCTTTTCGTAGCTAGGCGGAAACATTTGTATAGGTATTGAGGGGGATGAGGCTATTGAAGGGGAGGAGGCTGGTAATGATGATATTTTATTTATCTGTATTTGTCCAAATGCTTTATTTTGCTCCTCCTTTATAGGCTTAAATAAGGGTTGTTCTGTTGCTAAATTGTAGTTAGTCAAGTCTTGTTTTATTGGGATTAGGGTTGGTGGTGGGGGAGGAGGTGATGTTATTGGTGCGGGGGGTATTGAGTAATGATATTTTGAGGTTGTTTGTTGTTGATAGAAGGAGTCTTAAAACATTGAGGTTTATTAGGGGCGGTTTGATAGAGCTGAGGATAAGGAGTTTCACATGGATGGAACTGAGGACGGACATTTGTACATATAGGGATTGAAAGGGTATGAGGCTATTGAAGGGGATAAGGCATAGGACAAGGCCCAAGCCTATGGAGGCCAAGGCCCAAGCCCCTCCTTCTAAAGCCCCCACAAGGCTCTCCAAGTATCTCAATCCCAAATACATCCTAATTATCCCAGCTTCGTTTCCAAATGCAAAAAACAGCCAAGGGTTATTTTTACTTATTAGTCCCTGTAGAAGTCCTTGCCTCACCTTGTACCAACCGATTAAAGAAATCATTGGGGAACGAGGTTTCTCTTATTATAGTCCAATCGTTGCAAGTTCTCTAGTTAAGATGACCTCACCTTGTTTACAATGCCAACAGCCTCCTGCCTGACCAGGTTCCCCTGGCGATCCTTGCGGCCCAGGCATACCGACAACTCCAAATTCGCCTCTCGGACCCATTAAACCTCTCATTCCTTTACTGCCAGGCATTCCCCATTCTCCATCTTTGCCACTCTTTCCCGGAGGGCCTCGAGGGCCAGGCAATCCAATAGCACCTTGCGGTCCTGGAGGGGCACCGTTCAAAACTCGGCCTGGGTCGCCTGGTGGGCCTTTAATACCCGGGAAGCCGATCTATACAGAGAAAAATAAAAGTTTAAATTTTCAAGAAAGATGTACAAAATGGTCAAAAATATTTTAACCTCTCCTCTTTGCCCAGCAGCACCGGTCAATCCATTCTTGCTACTTACTCCATTCTTTCCAGGTTTTCCAGGCTCACCAGCCAAGCCTGGCAACCCTTTTAAACCTGGAGCTCCGGGAGGTCCGGGAATGCCGGGATAACACTAAAAATGGCTTTAAACTTCTCAAAAATATTTTATTTACTTTAAGGCAAGAATCTGACGCTGATTCATCCTTTGAAGCTGCAATGTATTTCCCTGGTCGTCCGCCCCATCCCCACTTCCCTGGTGTGCCGTCTGTTCCTGGCCTTCCAGGTTTTCCTGCCTTTCCAGGGGGTCCGGGGCTGCCTTAAAAAGGAATCAGAATTAAAGCAGAATTTAAAAATCAGAACTAATCAGAATTTTAAAAATATCAGAACTAATCAGAACTTAAAAAATTAAAATCAGAATTTAAAAAAACAGAATTTAAAAATCAGAATTTAAAAATCAGAATTAAAAAAACAGAATTTAAAATCAGAATTTAAGAATCAGAATTTTGGAACCAAAATTTTAAAAATCAAAATGTCAGAATAGCAAAATCAGAATATCAGAATTTATGACAACCAGAATTTATTATAAAAATCAGAATTTAACGTTTATTATTCTACTAGCCTTGTTTGCAAGCACAACATAAATTCTCCTTCTCTGCTTGTTCAAATTTTGCATAATTATTATTACCAGTCTCTCTTCGAAATCTTTCAATTTTATAACTATTTCTGTTTAAATCATTCCATAAATTTTTGGATTCCAACTTTAATTTTTTTAATTAAAAAAATTTTTTTAATTAAGAATACTTTGCATTCATTAGCAACAGAAATTAGCAAAGAAAGCCGTCGTTGCATCGAAAAATGTGCTATAGGTATCAGTATTATGAGGGAGGCTAGAGAAGCACAGGAAACTATAGAAAGGAGAAAAACTGTTTTTGAAGAGGATTCTTCGAACATCTCTTTAAAAATCAAAAAATACTCTATAAAGTCAACTCTCGCTATAAGCGACTCACAAAAACTCCCTGTATAAGCGACTCAGAAAATCAGAATTAAACCAGAATTTGTAGATAAAAATCAGAATTTCTTCGGGTTTAAAGGGAAAAGTCGCTTATATCGAATTTCCGTTATTAAGAGGGTCGCTAATAACGAGAGTTTATTAAAAAGAAAAATTTTTCTCAATTTTTTGATAAAATGATAAATAATGATAAAATGATAATTAAAGAGATAAAAGTTTAAAAATCCAAGAATGACCCATATTTAAAGAGAAAAAGCTTGTTTGTGTGTGTGGTCAATCAAAAAAATAGCCGGAACTAATTAACTAAAAAGTGTAAGGTGTGAAAGCGTTTATTAATTAAAAGAGAAAATTAATTGAATAGAATTAAATTAATTTGATTAGATTTTTTATTTCCTTTTTAATCTTTTTAATTCGAAAACTCGTCAAATAAATCACTGTTTCAGTATAACTGTCGTATACCCAATTGTCGTTTACTTAATCATCAATCGGATAATTGTCTTGTGTCCTTTCGTCGAATCAAGTGATTTTTATTTTGTCGTACTCAATTGTCATATACCCAATTGTCGTATACCCAATTTTCATTTGGCTAATTGTCACGTGGCCAATTGTCATATTATCAATTGTCTTGTGCTTAATTGTCGTATAGTCAATTGTATCTGTCCAAATGTCGTAACAATTTTTTATCAGACTGTCACGAAAATTTCATGTGTTATTTTAATCAAATGATTTTTATTCTGGGTACGGCCCAAGTAGGCGCACGGCCAAGTAGGCGCTAAGTCATAACTTGCTTCAAAATTTCCGAATCTTAACAAATTTGGTATTAAACGATTCCTCTCATCGAGCTAAAGAGATTGGTACCAAAATTGTTAAGGTCCATAAATTTTTCAGGTAGTTATGGCTTTGCGCCTACTTGGCCGCGCGCCTACTTGGGCGTGTCCCTTTTATTCTTATTTAGTAATTTTTTAATTGTTTGCGTTCATTTAGGCTTTATTTTAAGTGTATTAATTTAAAGGTTTTTTTTATTTCTTTGAATTTTTGATATTTTTTAAAAATCATTTTTTAAAACCCATTCCCCTTTATCGTTTTTATAATCGTAACGACATTCAAATTTAATGTCTTATTTTTCATTTTTGCTCAACTAGGAGTGTATTATTGATTATTTATTTTGCCTGCTTTTTAATCTTTTGGTTTTTGGTCGGTAGAGGAAAAGACGGAAAATGACTTTGATTTTTAAAATATGTACTACATTTTTTTCTGATAAGTTGTCTGAAAATTTAGAAAATTATTTTTATTTTCCTTTTGAGTAACTCGTTGATTTCCGTCCGCAAGTTTAATCCGCAAAAAAATTTTTGTCCGCAAAAAAAATTTTTTTCCGCAATTTTAGTCCGCAAAAATTTTTTTGTCCGCAAAAAATTTTTTTTACCGCAAAAATTTTTTCTGTCCGCAAATTTTAGTCCGCAAGTGTCTGTCGGCAATCTTTAAAGTACTTTTTCCTATTAAACTACAAAATAAACATTTTTTAATCTCTTTTCAGGTTCTTAGAAAGGCATGAGAAAAATTTTTTTCCGCGCTCCTCCCCTCTTTAAAAAAATTTTTTCTATTTAAATAAATTTGTTTTTTTAGAAAAATGCATTTATTCAACAATTTATGGTTTATTTATTTTTTTAAATTAAAATAAAATAATGGGTGGATTAACTGATATTTTATTTTCTATTTGTGCTGAGTATTTCAGAGGATTGTTTTGTTCACTTCAAGGATTTTTGGTGTTGCATAAAATTGATAATCCGCCTGTTTCGAGCATTGTAAGTCTAAAAACTTGTTTGTAACTATACTCGGGATTGGAAGAGGTTTATTTTTATGATTAATTTACATGAGATCGAGATTTTCAAATTGACCTTGAGTTTAACTGAGGACCTTGACTAGATTAAGAACCTTGAGTCAAGGAAAAAATTAAGGAAGCTGAAAAATGCTTTGATGTGGAGTCTAGATCCAGGAAAGATCAAGGTCTGGGTCCAGATCCAGCTCGATCTCTAAGATTCAGGTTCGATGCCAGGCTGAGGTTGGTTAAGTCTGCTTTAGACCTGTATAGGATTTAAATGTGTGGGTGGTGGGGAGCTTCTCCTCATTTGTAAATATTTTAAGGATTGGAAGAGTATTCTTATAATGAGCTGGTGTCTCTTAAAAATTGTAGATATTGCTTAGCTCCACACTTTTTCAAATTTTCACTTGTCCGCAAATATCCTTTGTCCGCAAAAATTTGTCCGCAATTTTAAAAAATGTGTACCAAAAGTTGGAAATCTTGACTTATAGGGGACTTTTTTTGGCTGGACCAATTTCGACAAATGATATGTCATTCGAAAGAGCTTTTCGAGCTGAGTCTAATGAGGGGTGAATGGTGTCGATCCGACAATCAGGGACCGAGTTACAGACCCCTGAAATTTAAAAAAGAGAAGGGGGGAGTAAGCTCATTTTGGTCAAAAAATTCAAAAATGTAAATTATAGCTCATTCGAAAGAACTCCTCGAGCTGAGTCGAATGACACCAAAATCAGCTCGATTGAACAAGTTTGGACAAAGTTATGACACAAAAAATAAACAACGTAAACCTATGGGGCGTCGGCGAGGCGCTTGTGCAAAACTCCGCGCTTCGCGCGGAGTTTTGCGGCACGCGCCTCGCGGGGAGTCTACGGGCGCTGGGTCTGGGCTCGTAACATAAACCTATTCCTATTTCCCTTGCTTTGGACGTACCCGGGGCCTTGTAGCAGCAAAAACCGCGGAGACCATAGGTAAGGAGCTAAAAACGACACATAACTTTGTCCAAACTTGTTCAATCGAGCTGATTTTGGTGTCATTCGACTCAGTTCGAGGAGTTCTTTCGAATGAGCTATAATTTACATTTTTGAATTTTTTGACCAAAGAGAGCTTACTTCCCCCTTCTCTTTTTTAAACTTCAGGGGTCTGTAACTCGGTCCCTGATTGTCGGATCGACACCATTCACCCCTCATTAGACTCAGCTCGACGAGCTCTTTCGAATGACATATCATTTGTCGAAATCGGTCCAGCCAAAAAAAGTCCCCTATAAGTCAATAGTACCCAAAAGTTTTGGGTGTATTTGGTATTTTGTGTAGCCTATATTTGGTTTAAAAGCTAAAAAAATTTTTTAAAGGTAACCGAACATCGACGACAACAACAACAAAAATCGACAACATCTTTCCAAACAGTACTCGAAAAACGCAGACAACAAGAACTCGAAAAGCGTTGCAGTAAACCTCCACAGCCTGAACAAATAAATAAAGTTTCAACTCCTAAACGTATTATTAGGGTATTTTTTTCTGTATGTTACTTCTTTTATTTAAGTTTTTTTAATTAAAATTCTTTTGGAAATTTTTGGGTTCCCAATTTCATCAGATCCTTGGGGATGATTTTTGGGAAAAAATTCGATTTCTCTTACAAGGAAACCTATCGAACTGCCACCAAAAATTTTGTAATTATTGCGCCATCGTGTAGAGCGTGGTCGATAACCTATTGCAAATTTTTGGCTTTTTTGGCTCCGACTCCAAATCGAAAAGTTATAGGACTTCAAAGTTTTCGTCTTTTGGAGCGGTCAAGTTCATTTTACACCAAAACGGAGTTTATATTCGTAATCAGCTCCCTTATTTACCCTTGGAACCATTCTTTAATTAATTTTAAAATTTGATTTTTGGAGTGGTCTTCATTTCCAAGTTGGCTCAAAAAGGCTACCTTTATGTGCCTTTTTGACCTTCTCTGAAAGGGAAAAATTTTTAATTTTCGAGGAAATTCAAAGTTATTCTTAATTTGTGTTTGATTTTATTTTTCTATTATTTCTCCATTTATTTTTTAATTTTATTTAATTTTTAAGTGCGTCTGTGCCAACATTGCCTCCGTTCTCCTCGTTTTGTCAATTGCTTATTTTGTAAATTTTGCTGGGCAAAATACTCTATTTTCTTCATTTGTCAGTTGCTTGGGATCTTCTGTGCTTATTCCTGTATTGATTGTTGTTCGGCTGCTATCGGTTATTTTTTAAATTAATTTTGTCAATTTTTAAGTGTTAATTTTGGGTAATTGGGTTTTTGTTACTTTTTTCCTCTTTTAAGCCTAAAAATATAGGTTAACATTTTGATGGGCTGCCAAGTTGTTTTCTTGGCCGAGTTGGTAAGGTGTTAGTCTTGTGGGTAGGACTGGATGGGTTCGATTCCGTTAGATGTTTTTCTGCTTTTTCTCGTTCACAATTGTTAGTTTTTCTTTGAAATTATTTTTACTCGTAAAAAGTAGGTGAAGAAAATTTTTTCAATGAGAAAATAACTAAAAAAAATTTCTTAAAATTTTTTTATTTCCATTTTTAAACCTAAAAATAATTTTTCCCCAATAGATTCTCTGGTTCGCCGATGTTGCCGGTGCAGCACTCCGTTACCGTGGGCAAACAGGCCAAAAAATTCCAGATTATGCTCGGGCCGCTTCCGATTTTGTTCATGCAATTATTGTAGAATTAGTTTTTTTATTCCAAGCAATGCTGTTTTTTAATATTAATTTGCCTATAATTTCTTCAAGGTTTTTTTGAATTTTTAAGGAATTTTAAAATAAATTTTATTTGGTAATATTGAAGAGTATGGGCCCCATTTTTTCCTCCCTATTTTCCCCCTATATTTTTACAAAATGGTCAGACTTTTTCCTTCCTTCCATCCAACTTGCCTTTCTAATTTTTGCCTTGAAACAATGAAAAAAGATTATTTTTGATATTTTATTCCCCGTTTTAATAGAGAAAATGAGTCTTCTCAAAACTCATACTTGTTAAATACCAAAAAATAATCCTTTTTGTTTGGTTGTAGGCAAAAATTAGAAAGGCAAGTTGGATGGAAGGAAGGAAAAAGTCTGACCATTTTGTAAAAAGATAGGGGGAAAATAGGGAGGAAAAAATGGGGCCCATACTCTTCAATATTACCTTTTATTTTTAGTCTTGGATTTATTTATATGGCATTGCTAAATTCTTTGTATAGTTTTGACTATATTTGGATGAGTAATGGAGTTAATTTGGTTCTTTTTAATTTTTAAAGAATTAGTTTTTGGGAGTAATTAAAGGGCAGGGAAGAAGCAAAAGATCGTTGAGCCTTCATTTTGTGGGGGGGGGGGGGGGGGGGTTTCCAGAAAATGAAAATTCTAAAAGATTTAATACATTTAGAATATTTTATTTGAGTTGTTATTGACCGGTTGTTAACTCGATACCTTTCGATTATTGGCTGTCACTATTTTTTGACCTTTGGGTTTCTGTGCCGGTATGGTAACCGACCTCTATCAACCTTAACCTCCCTTTTATCCTTCTATTCTTCCTCAATTTTGAATATAAATACTATATAATCGAAAAATAGACTTTTTATAGCCTAGATTTTTTCCGATTTTCCTTTTATTTCCTATAATTCCTTTAATAGTGCTGGACCAAACCGACGTTCGAGTCGTTGTTTCGGGCCTCATTTTTATCGAACCGGGCCGATCGAGTCTTTCAGGTCAAAATTCGAGGCCCGGTTCGATCTTTCGAACCGAACCGGGCCTTTAACCCTACCTTTAAACCCCCAATTTACGAGGTATTACTTTTTTTCGCACATCTTCTAAATTTCAAAACCCCTTAAAAATTTTTTTCTATTTTTATTAAAAATTTTTAATTTTTTGCAGAATTCCCGTATTGCCCTAATCGAACGTCGTTGGCCCTTTCATCTCGGTTTTGGCACAATTTTAACAATTGCAACAAATTATTCTTCAAATTTTATAATTTCTGGATGTATTTTTGGAGCTTTATTTCCCTTCTTTATTGTCAGTTCTTGTTTGGTTGACACAGAAATTCTCTCAACTTTAAAAGGAAATAATAATAAATTAAATTTCCCGGCGATTCCATTTTATTGTATTGCTCAAAATATAACAAACAAATTGTCTTTGGCAATTTTTGGAAGATTTTTTTGAATTTTTATTTTAATTTTAATTGTGTATTTTATTTTGTTGTGGCATTTGTGGTAATCCTTTTAGAGAATTTTTATAGTTTGTCCGCTAATTTTTTGCGGACATTAAATTTTTTGCGGACAAATTTTGCGGACAAGTTTTGCGGACAAGTTTTGCGGACAGATTAAGACTAGTAGGATAAGTTAGGTGCTAGAATTTTACTTCTGGTTCCATCAAGAGACATGTGAAGACATTATTTTTGTGAAATAACGTAAATCCGTAAAGGTACATTAATCCGCAAAATTTGTCCGCACATATTTTTTGGGCATGTTTTGCGGACATTAAGTTTTTGCGGGCAGACTAGAACTGAATAAAGAAATAAATGCTAGAAATTTGACTTCTGATTTCTGAAAAGAATCATGTAAAAGCTGATGACTTGTTTTGGAGAAATATTTGTCCGCAAAAATAAATTAGTCCGCAAAAGTTGTCCGCAAAAAATTTTTTTTGAAAAATTTTCTGATTTTTTTTGGGATTTTTCAAAAAAATTTGTCTTATCAATTTAATTTTTTCTAAAAGGATTCTTAATTTGTATATTTTTTAAAATTTGTAAAAAATATGTAAAAAATGTATTTTTTTATTTTTACTATTTTTGCTTGTTTGTGGTTATTTTTCTATGTAAAGAAATACTTAAAAAAAATTTTTTTTCTTAATAATTTTTTTAAAATTTAATTTTTATAATTTTCAATTATTCTTGACAATATTCTCGAGACAAAAAAAAATAAATGAGATGGTTAATACTTTTTGGTCGTCGTTGTATTTGTGATGTACCAACGTCAACTTCGCGCCTTTTAAATTTGAGTGCAACAAATTTGAGATTGTTGTCTAATACAAGGTTTTTATTTTAAATATTAAGTTTTTGTAAATCTCTGGAGTAGTTCGGGGAGTTTTTTGTATTGTGACAGGAAGTTTAGGGACATTTTAGTGCTTAAAAATGCGGATGTGTCCGCAGAATAAGATGTTTGACCCTATCTGAATAAGAGGGCGGTTTGATTTTTTTTCATCATTTTTTTCCTACCTTAATATAGTATATAAATAATGGTCAGTCTTTTCTTCCTCGTTCGATTCCACTCGTTTTACCCGTGGCATATTAAAATGAGAGGACAAACAAAATATGGACGCATTCAAAGAGGAAGAAAAGACTGACCACGGACGGATCGGACAGACAAAACACGGACGAGCTCGGACAGACAAAACACGGCGGAACACACAAATTTGTTTTGTGTGTGTGTCCGTCCGTGTTTTGTCTGTGTTGTGTGTCCTTTTCTGTCTTCTCATTTGAATATGCCACAGGTAAAACGAGTGGAATCGAACGAGGAAGAAAAGACTGACCATTATTTATATATTAAGGTAGGAAAAAATGATGAAAAAAATCAAACCGCCCTCTTATTCAGATAGGGCCAGATGTTTTGTCTGTAAAACCTGTTCCGGTACTTGTAAGTTATACCATACCTGTTCTTTGGACATATGTGGGCATTCATATGAACACAAGAATGGTCAGACTTCCTCATTTTCACGCGTAATTTCCCTGTTGCATTCAAAAGAGACCATGATTATTTTTTGCGATGCTCAGGAGGCGAAAAGATGATGAAGTCCGACCATTCTGTTGAGTCCGACCATTCCGAATATGTCCGCAAGAATTGGTATGGGATAACTTGGTATGGGGTACTCTTGTTCCTAATATTTTTAGGACTCCCTCCTATCCTTCCAGTTATAGTCTTTAATTCTTTTAGTTTTCAAAATTTAGCCTAATTTATAAATCTTTAGGTCAATTTTAGTTGTTGATAATTTTTCAAAAAATCCCAAAAAAATTTTTTTAATTTTTCAGACATTTCTCTTCCAAAATATCTTCAAATTTGTTGTCTAGACGAAATGAAACGGGTGACCTCTTCACCACAAAATTTCTTTCACCACAAAAATTGCGTTTACTCTTCAGGCCGTTGAGAAGAAATTTTAGCAGTGGGGAATCTAAACGACAACCAAAACTTATTAAAGATTTAAAAATTAGTGATGTAAGGGGAATTGCAGTTTTAGCATTGCCCTATAAATGGAGAATTATAGGTTTGTAAATTTTAGAATAATTCTTTTTTTGAAAATTTCGGCGGGACATTTGGTCCCAAAAAAATTTTTTTAATTTCGGCGGGACATATACCCCCAGCAATTTATTTTTTTAATAGATTTTTTGGGATGAAATTTGGTTTTAAAAACTTTTGGAAATTCTTGGTAGGACATTTCAGCTAGAAAATTTTTTTTGAAAATTTCGGCGGGATATCTGATAGGATTTTTGGGATAGAACTTGGTCTCAAACTTTTTAGGAAATCCTTGGGAGGACATTTTGTCCCAAAATTATTTTCAAATTTTTTAGCCGGCCTAGTCTTTCTTTCTATTGGCTCTGGCCTATTTTTAACACTACCTCGAATTCTTGGCAAAATGATTGATGAATTTGACACTTCAAAACCAGAAGACAGAAAAACTGAGGGAGATGAAGAAGCAAAAAATGAATTAAATTTATTTTCAATAATTCCTCAAAAGGATACAAAAAAGAAAGAAAATGAAAAAGAAGACGATTTTCTTGGAAGAATAGCACGTTATCTTCGACACAATCCATGGGCTATAGGTATTATTCTTGCTGTTGGGGCATGTGCAATTGGTGGACGTATTTATTTGATGCATACAACGAGTTTGTTTTTTGTTTAGTTTTAGATAGGGGAAATTGGAGGTGGGTGCTAACTCGAGGAATTCCAAATTACGGAACATTCCGTGAGATGGTCGTTCCGTGATTTAGTAATTACGTGAATTGTCGTTCCGCGACCTGTCATTTCCTCGAGTTAGCCCGACACGGTATTTGTTGAGAATATTGAGGGTGGGGGTTAACTTGAGGAATTCCAAATTACGGAACAGACAAGTAACGGAATGACTAAATCAGGGAACGACTAACAATTTGTTCTTGAATTCTTTTTTTTTAAATATTCGGATTTTTCAAAAAATTCCGATTTTTAAAATATTCCATGTTTTGGTTCCGTGATTTGTCCGTTCATTGATTTAGTAGTTCCTTGATTTGTCGTTCTTGTCTTTCCCCGACTTGTCCGTTCCGTGAGTTAGCCTGGCACTGGGAAAATTGGTGACGTTGGTGGATGAGTCTGTGGTTAAGTGCAAATGTGTTTGATTAAGGTAACTGAAGGTGGTGGGTTCGACTCCCTCCAGGGGATTCATTTGTCGTTTGGTTATTTCTAAGGAATCAAAATTCAATTTTTCATCAATTGTTGATGAAAAAGTATTAAAAAAATTTTTTTAACCAAGAAAATTAAAGGTCAACTCATAGTCAACGATTTGCGTACAAACGTTTTCCGCAACATTCTCCAACAAGATATGGCTTTCTTTGATAAAAATAAAGTTGGGGAAATTGTAAGCCGGCTATCTTCAGATGCTTATATTGTTGGAAATGCTCTTTCTACAAATTTGGGTGATGGTATTCGTTCACTTTTCACTTCTTTTGTGACTGCAGGAATGATGGTTTATTTATAAATATTTATTATAAGGGGAGGATTTTGAGAGGGAACTCTAAATTTTTTTTTGAAAAATTTTTCCTTTGGTGAAGGAGTCCAACTCTTGGTGAAACTTCTTTTGGGGAAGCTGTCATTTTATTTAATGTTCTCCCTCACTACCAAAGGTTTATACAGGAGTCGGATTTCGAGGGGGGCTATAGAAGGGTGTGTGCTCTTTATTACAAACCGTGGATATCCACTAACCATTAGAGATCGGAATTTTTGAAAAGCCTGGATCTGTTCTGGATCCTGGGTTTGATTTATTGACCTGGGCCGGATGGGGGGGGGGCCTGTAGTCCAGGAAAACCCCAGGAAGGTCAAAAAATGCCTGGGCCTGGACTCTCGGTACAGGAAAAACCCCTGGCCTTAGTCCATACCCAGGTCGATCTACTGACGCGAAAATTGTATATGTTAACAATATTTAAAAATCTTCTTTATTTTAATGATAAAAGTATAGATGCCGTTTTATTTTTTTGTTTCTAAAATTTCAAAAAAAAATAAAGGAAAAAATTTTATTTTCAGGTATATACATCACCAGAACTTTCTCTTCTGGGTCTAATTGTCATTCCTTTTATTGCTGGAACTTTCTTAGTTTATGGTAAATGGATAGGTTATTATGCTACTCAAATGCAAGAAGCAATTGCTGGAACTAATGAGGTTTCTTTTTTAATTTTTTTGATAGAATTTTGAAAGAAAAAATTTTTTCAGTTGGCAACTGAACGTCTCTCAAATGTCAAAACTGTCAGAGTTTTTGTGGCAGAAAATAAAGAATTGAAAGCTTATAGAAATAAAATTTCTGATATTTGGGAAATTTCAAGAAAAGAAGGACGTGCTACTGCATTTATTGTTGGAGGGTTTGTTGAGATTTTTTAAAAATTTTTCGGGAGATTTTGGAATGATTTTTTGACCTAAAAATCTTTTATCGAATTTTTTCTGTGTTTTATGAATGGATAATCCAACCTTGCCATAGGTCCCGAAAAATGCAAAGGTATCTTGTAAACTAGGAATAGACCGAGTACCGGAAACTGAAGTTCTGTCGTTTTTTTGACCCGAAATTCGATCTGGACCAATCCGAAAAATTTTTTAAAAAATCTGATCTAAAACTCCACCAGACTTTTTTCTCATTCCGGCTTATCAAATCAAACCCTACAAAATTCAAATGGACAAAAAATTAAAACACAACTCCTGGCACCTCCTTATTTTTTTCCTATTTGTAACCAAAAAACTCGCGTCCCTCAAAAATCATTTAAAAATCACTAAATAACTCAATCCCCTTTTTTCAGTTATTACATTGTTGGATATGGCTTCCTTTCTTCTCTCCTCTATTATGGAAGTCATTTAATAAGTTGTGGCCTTCTCACTTATGGCGATTTGTCTTCATTTGTTATTTATGCAATTCTCTGTTCTGCAAACATTTCAAACATTCGAACTTTTTATTCTGAACTTATGCGTGGATTGGGATCGTCTTCACGTCTTTTTGAATTGAGAGATACAAAGCCAAAAATTCCTTTGAGTGGTAAGTTGGGAAAGGTTTTTTAAATTTAATTTTAGAAAAATATTTAGAGAAAAATTAGGTTTAACTCACAAGGAAAGGTGGCGAGGTGTCCTACCTAAAAACGGTCGAGACCGGGCTCGTTCGATAGAGAATGTGCCCTTTCTAGCAAGGATTTCGTGCCGTTTTTCCCCGTTTTTTGATTTGGCTAATGTAAGATATGGCCCTCCAAAGTCTAAAATTTGGCAACCTTTCCTTGTTAGCTCACAAGGAATTATCGTTTACTGTGCTGCGAATTTGATATAGTTTTTGGTACCATTCGATAGAGGACCCCCGACTTCCTATTGCGAAGTGATATCCGTTTTCTTGCAAAATGAGTTTGGGCTGAGTTATGGCCGTTCAAAATTTTTTGTCCTCTATCGAATGGTACCATAAAATATATCAAATTTGCAGTCAAAGTAAACGATGGTTTCTTGTCAGTATACACGTTGAATTTTATTTATTTTAAGTTGGGTTTGGGTCCCTTATTTTTTTTCTTTTTTTTGGGGGGGGGGATGTTGTTTCTTTTTATACTCTTAGTATTGTTTTCGGTTTGGGACATAGGGCAACTGAATCTATAACCTTCCGCTAGCCAGGCATCTTGCGAACTGCGTGTTTGCTTTCAGTTAGAATATTCAAAAAAATTTTTTTACTTATAGGAGGTATCTGTTTAACCGGCTTGAAGGAAGGAATACGTTTTGAAAGTGTTGCATTTTCATATCCTGATCGTGACCCAATTTTTAATGATATAACTTTTAAAATACCTGTTGGTTCTACAACAGCAATTGTTGGATCCTCAGGCTGTGGAAAATCAACAATTGCACATTTATTGTTAAGGTTATTTTAGAAAAATATTTTAGTTTAAAAATTTATTAGTCTCCGCAATTCTTTTTTCGCAAGTTAGAATTAGTTTTGGAGTTACTAGTCGGGCCGACGTTCGAGTCATCTTTTTCTGGCTTTAATTTTATCGGGCCGGCCAGCCCGAGTTTTTTCGGGCCAAAATTCGATGCCCGACCCAATTTTTGCGACCGAACCGGACCTCCAACCCTAATAAGGAATATTTATTTTCTCATAAAGGATAATTTTTGCTTTTATAAAGAATAATTTTCACGCAACTTGTGACCAAAAAAACTCGTATCTTTGTGTGTATCGCTTAGGTAGCTTCTTTCTACATCCAATAATCGGAAAACGTGTCCTAAATTGCGGCTACTACAACAGGGCCGTAACCATGATTTCTGGGGGCCAGGGTAAAAAATCCCCTCCCCAAATTCTTTCCTTTTCCTTTCCTCCCTCTCTCTGGTTACAGCCTAGTACCACAATCAAAATATAATTCTTAGAAAACTTGCGGATAAAAATTGCGGACTTTTCAAAAATTTTGACTTTTGGAAGCACGGAGGGAAAAGAATATTTTATTTAATTTTTAGGCTATATTCCCCAACTCAAGGACGTATTTTAATTGATGGACAAGATATGAAAAATATAGACCCTTCAGGTTTTTTTAATTTTTTATAAAAAAAAATTTTTTTAATTTTAAAAGAGTGGCGAAAAATGTGTGGAGTAGTAAGTCAAGAACCTGTCCTTTTCTCTGCTACAATAAAAGAAAATATTTTGTATGGAGTTCCAGAAGGTGTAGAAATTGGGGATGAAGAGGTTTTTTTTTAATTTTTTTTTGCGATAACAAAAATTTTTTTTTAAATTAAGATTGAAAAAGCTGCTAAACTTTCAAACTCTTTAGAATTTATTCGTTCATTTCCTCAAGGATTTGATACAATGGTTGGGGAACATGGATCGTCTATGTTAAGTGGAGGTATATAAAATTAGGAATTTTTTATAATTTAAGGAAGGGAAATTTAACTGGTTAGCAGTTAAAGACGCCTACTAGGCTAGGAGGGACTATTACTTAAAAAAGGGAGGGTGAGAAGCAGTCGGTAGCCTATGCTGACCTATACGATGGTTGGGGAGCATGGATCGGGGAGCACGCTGACCTATTGCTAGGTGACTTCCCGAATGTAAATTTAATGCCTTCCCAGATCAAAATCAGCTCATCGGATCGTTGCCTGCCCCCTACTTGTACTCTCTCTTACTATTAAAAAGGAAATTTTTTTTATAAATTTGATTTAATTTTTCTTAAAGGTCAACGACAACGAATTGCTCTCGCTCGTGCATTAATTATGGTATCCAAATTATATTTTTTCTAACAATTTTAATAATTTTGCAGAAACCTCGTTTTATAATATTGGATGAAGCAACAAGTGCTTTAGATGCGACTAGTGAATATTTGGTATTTTTTGTTAAAAAATTTCGCGGACGTTTTTTGACGATAAAGAGATAAATCTCTTTTACATTGAAACTACTTGTCCGCAAAAATTAAAAATGTCCGCAAAAATAAAAAATATGTCCGCAAAAAATAAAATGTCCGCAAAAATAAAAAAATGTCCGCAAAAAATTAAAATTGTCCGCAAAAATGAGAAATATCCGCAAAAATTAATGAAAAGTCCGCAAAAGTAAAAGATGTCCGCAAAAATAAAAAAAGTCCGCAAAGGTAAAAAAAAGTCCGCAAAAGTAAAAAATGTTCGCAAAAAATAAAAAAGTCCGCAAAAAAATAAAAAAAATGTCCGCAGAAATTAATTTTTCTTCTATTTAAAGGTCCGAAAATCATTAGAAGTATTATCAAAAAGTGGACAAACAATTTTAATAATTGCCCATCGTTTATCAACAATTAAACATGCAGAACAAATTGTTGTATTGGATAAAGGAAGTGTTGCAGAAATGGGTTGTTTTGATGATTTAATGAATATAAAAGATGGAATATTTCAAAAATTGGTAGAAAAACAAACTTTGGATTGGAAATTTGATAGGTTTTAGTGGAGGAGGAAAGGAAAGATTTTTTGAAAATTTTTTGAAATTTTTTTGAAAATTCCAAGGTGCCCCTTATTTTTCTTTACTTTTTCGAAAAGAATTAACAAGGAATTACAAAGTACCAAGGAAAAATTAGGGCAAAAAAAAATTTTTTTTGTTGAGTGAAAATTATTTAAAAAGAGATTTTTAAAAATTTTGTCACATTTTTATTTTTTTTTAAATTAAATACCTTAAAAAAATTTCTTATTGCTTACAAAAATTGATTATTAAATAATCTATTATTATATTTTTATTTATTTTAAAGTTTATTTCTGAATATAAATACCTGAGATTAGCTCTCATAAATAAGCTCATGTCAGGAAGGGACACGCCCGAATAGTCGCGCGGCCATAATGGCGCAAAGCCATAACTTGCTTGAAATTTCTGACCCTTATTAATTTTGGTACCAATTTCTTTAGCTAAATTAGAGGAATAGTTTAATATCAAATTTGTTAAGATTTGGAGATCTTGTAGCAAGTTATGGGGCCCGTTATGGCCGCGCGCCTACTTGGGCTGTTCCCGTCAGGAAATGTGGCTTGTTAGACTCAACCTGCCACACTCAACTAACCCTAACCCTTATTTTTGTTTTAATTTTCATCAAAAAAATAAAATAAAGATTTTTGGTGAATTGGAACATCTTTTAGGTTACCATGAATCATCTTTACTTTAAGAAAAAATGAATCATTAAAAATTAATTTAATTACCGGTTATCATTTATAAATATCACAAAAAAATAATTAAAGAGGCTGTGATTAATTCACCAAATAAAATCTAATTTATAATTTTTTTAAAAGAAAAAAAATTTTTTTTTAATTAAAAAATGGACAAAAATGGAAGAAAAGTAATTGTTGTGGATAACGGGACTGGGGTAAGTTTGAAAAAAAAATTTTCAAAAATTTTTCAAAAAAAATTTTTTTCCTTTTCAAGTTTGTAAAATGTGGCTATGCTGGATCAAACTTCCCCGATTTTATTTTTCCTTCAGCTGTAGGTAGGCCTTTAGTTCGTTCAAATACTCAACAAATAATTAATAATAGGCCAATCAAGGTTTTTTTGAAATTAAAATTTTTTTGAAAAATTTTTGAAAAAATTTTTTAAGGATTTGATGGTTGGGGAAGAATGCACAGATGCTAGACACTTGCTTGATGTAAACTACCCGATGAGTAATGGAATAGTTAAAAGTTGGGAAGATATGGGACACTTGTGGGACTATACGTTTGGACCGGAAAAGATGGATATTGACCCGAAGGTTTTTTTTGAAAATTTTTTTTTAATTTTTGGAGAATATTTTTTGACGGCTTTTGTGTTATGTTACGCTTACATAAAAATCGTGGGCGTCTTCTGATAGAAAAATAACTAGAAAAAAGGAGAGGAAAGTTTCTGGAATACGCCCAAGTAGGCGCGCGGCCATAACGGCGCAGAGCCATAACTTGCTGGAAAATTTTTGTTCCTTATCATTTTTGGTACCAATCTCTTTAGCTCGATGAGGGGTATAGTTTAATACTAAATTTGGCAAGATTCGGAAACTTGAAGCAAATTTTGGCTTTGCGCCGTTATGGCCGCGCGCCTAAGTGTGCTGTACCCTCATTTTCTGTCTCAAAAACGCGAAGCCTTTTCTAGTGATATTTTGTTGCGTTGAGTGTTCGGTTCCTTAGGAATCAGTTTGTATTGCTTTTTAGATTTTTAGTTCAAAATTAAAAAAATTTTTTCTTTAGGATTGTAAACTCCTGCTAACTGAACCTCCACTAAATCCGCATAGCAACAGAGAAAAAATGTTTGAAGTTATGTTTGAACAGTATGGATTTCATGCAGTTTTTATAGCTATACAGGTTATTTTTGATTGAAAAATTTTTTCTTAAAAATTTAAAATTTTTTAGGCTGTTTTGACCCTCTACGCTCAAGGACTCCATACTGGTGTGGTTATTGATAGCGGCGATGGAGTGACTCATATTTGTCCAGTTTTTGAAGGATTTGCTTTAAGCCATCTTACAAAGAGATTGGATGTTGCTGGAAGAGATATTACTAAACATTTGATTAAGGTTTTTTTTCTGTTGTTTAGTGTTACAAGAGCTTTTTTGGTGTAGAAATAGGACAATAAGATCCAGGATTTTTTTCGGGATGGGGGAAAGAGGCCCATCTGTCATCCGCAGGCACCAAAAATTCGGTAACCACTAGAACTCCTGGCTGTGGGTCTGGCCGTGTTACTAAAACGTGTAAATCAGTATAGTCAAACAAACGGCCTATAGAAATATATTTGAACAATCTTTACCCGTTGGGAGGTTTGGTACATAGCGTTTTCCACAGTTTATTGTTTCTACGGCCTCAGGGTTTGGTAACGTTTTAGCAATACGACGTGTTACCCTCACAATAACCACTAGAACCATCATTGATTTTTGAATTGTTTTTGAGTTTCAAAACCCATTTATATTATTCTAAAAAATTTTAGCTTCTACAATATCGTGGATATGCTTTCAACCACTCTGCAGATTTTGAAACTGTTAGGCAATTAAAAGAGAAATTTTGTTATGTGGCGTGAGTTTTCTATTTATTTTTTTAATTATTAAAAAAAATTTTTTAAGATACGATGTAGAGAAGGAACAAAAACTTGCCTTAGAAACAACAGTTTTGACTGAAACATATACGGTTTTTTCTAAATTTTCTTTCTTTAACTAATAAATTAAAATTTAAGCTTCCAGATGGTCGAAATATAAAATTGGGTGCTGAACGGTTTGAAGCACCAGAAATTCTTTTTCAGCCGCATTTGGCTAATGTGGAAAGGCTTGGACTGTCTGAACTACTTTTTCAAGTTATACAGTCTGCGGATATTGGTAGGGTGTGAAAAAAAATTTTTTGAAATTTTTTTGAAAATTTTTTTCTGAAATTTTTTTTGAAAATTTTTTTAATTTTTGAAGATTTTTCTGTAAAAATTATGAAAATTTTCTTGAAAAAATTTTTGAAATTTTAGAAAAAATTTTTTTCTGAAATTTTCTTGAAAATTTTTTCTAGACACTCGCCTTGAATTTTACAAACGTATAATCCTATCTGGAGGCACCACAATGTACCCAGGCTTGCCTTCCCGATTGGAACGTGAAGTAAAGCAACTTTATTTGGAAAGGATTTTGAAGGGAAATACGGAGGCCTTTCAGGTTTTTTTAAATTTTTTTGAATAATTAATTTGATCAATTTTTAAGAAATTCAAAATTCGAATTGATGCACCTCCTAAACGAAAACATTTGGTATTTCTTGGAGGGGCTGTACTTGCTCATTTGATGCGAGATCATGATGAGGTTATTTTAAAATTAAAAAATTTTTTGGGGGTTTTCTATAGGAAATTTTTTTTGTTTTTTATAAGAATATTAACGAGTAAACTATTAGTGTTTGAAAACTATTACCAAATGAGTTAGAGTATCCGTGTAATTACAATTTGATGGGGAGACCCCACCAGACTTGTAGTTACTAGAGATGGGTTTGGATCTGGATTCAGTCTGAATTTTTCCTGGATCCAGATCAAGAATCCTGTCCAGGTTACTAACCTAACTCCAAATCCAGGATTTTTGAAAAGACCGACCTCTAGTAGGTACCAGTGTTGGAAAGCAGGTACACGTGTTCATACCTGTATACGAGTTCAATAAATAAATTTCGAGCAAATTTTAAAGTCCCAAACACTGTTAACTACTGATTTGTTGGGGTCTCTCCATTTCTCTTTCGCTTCCTTTATACTCTATTTTTAATGAAATAAATTATATGAATTGCGGACTAAATTTGCGGACTAAACTTGCGGACTTTTTTTTAGACTTGCGGACTAAATTTGCGGACTTTCTGAAAGGGTAAAGCAAAAGGACCAAAATTTCTTGTTTAGGCTAGAAATTTGTTCCTGTTAAATTAAAAAAATTATTTTTTTAGCAATGGATAACAAAAGCAGATTTTGAGGAAAAAGGAATAGCTTATTGTATGAAAAAATTGGGCCTTACAAAATGAAAAAAAGTTTATTTTTTTAAATAATTGTCTCAAACTTAATTTTATTTTTTTATTTAATAATTTAAAATTAATTTTATTTTTAAATTTATTTTTCTCTTAAAAAATTTTTTTTTTAATTTATGAATTTATTTATTTTAATTTTTTAAAAAAGTTCGCTCATTTCTGAAGGCATAGAAATTTTTCGGTCTTTTCTATTTTTTTTAATTTTAGTTCTATTATGGAGCTAAGACTTTGGGCTACAAAATAAGATAAAAACAAAATCGGATAAAAATGGTGAAAAAAATTTTTTTTTCATCATACGGTGAAAATAAACGAACTTTTTTATGAAACGATCTAGTAAATTAGTCGATAAAATTTTTTTAAATTTTTTTTTCATTGTTTTTATCAACTTAAATATTTTAAAATTTTTTTTAATATTTTTAAAAATATTTTTAGGGTTATTAAACAAATTTTTTTATTTTCTGAAGAAATTTTTGTTCTCTGAAAACTACCTTAAAAATGGATACGGACGAAACCTTTGGTTGTTTGCCGTCGTTAATTTGTTCAAATGAAGATGACTTTGATGGGGGTGAATCTTGTAGGTTTTTAATAAATATTTTTTTTAGTTTTGAAATTTTTAAGAAAGTTTTTTTTTAATTTTTTTTTTAATTTTGAATTTTGGAATTTATTTTAACTTGAGGGTCGTCTAGTATTTTTTTCTAGTTTCTGGGTTATTCTTTAGAATTCTATTTGGTAGAAAAAATAAATTTTCTTGTGTTATGTATTGGTGGTTAAGTTGATTAATGGTAGGTTAACGATTAATTGTTTTTGGTGCCTGGTAAGGGTTCGACCCATATGGTTTTCTATTGTCTTGTAGTCGTGGTTTTTTGATGTAAAACCATCAAAAATAATTTTTAAAATTTTTTTAAATGTTGAAAAATTTTTTATTTAATAAATATTATTTTTAAAAATATAAATAAAACAATTTAATTATTTTTTAATTGATTTTATATTATTTTCTCTTATTAAGCTTGGTTTAACAATCATTTTGGAGATGCTAATGAAGAATATAATTCAGTAAAATTGCATGAATTGGTTATTGAATATTTGGTATTTAGTGGATATAAGGAAGCAGGTTTAATTTTTAATTTTTTTTTGGATTTTGATAATTTTTTGGGGGTTTGGTGCCGTCGAATCTCATTTTTAGATGCCTTCCTTGGGATTAAAAAATCGTCTTCCTTGGGATTAAAAAATAATGAGGTGTCTTTAACTTCTGGAATCCGGCTGATTATCGGCTTAGGTGTCCCCACCCAGTAGCCAACTAAATTTTTTAAATAAAATCGTATATTAAATAGAGGCATATTTTTTGGTTGGCTAATGGGTGGGGGCGCCTAAGCCGATAGTCAGTCGTATTCCAGAGGTTAAAGACACCTCATTATAGTAAGAGACTAGGGTCAAATAGAAAAATGAGGGGACTTATTTTATACTTAAGTTTGACAGAAAAATGAGAGGGAAGGACCAGAGCTTCTCTTAAAATTTTTTAAAATTTTTATTCATTTTTCAGCCGATTTATTAATAAAAGATGCTGAACTTTCTCCTCCATCTGATACTAATCAACTTAAGAAGAATGACTTGTCTGACCAAAAAATTCTTGAGAATACCAAAAATGTGGATACTTTAAATGAAAGAAGTGCTATTCATAATTGTATAATAAATGGAGATATTGAGACTGCTATTCGATTGATTGGTGAAATTGCTCCAAATTTATTAAACTCAAATCAAAAACTTCAATTTAAACTGTTACGACAACAATTGGTGGAATTAATTCGAAATAAGTCAGGTTTTTTAAATTAATTTTGGGGGAATTTTAGGGGGCTTGGGACATGGGAAGATTTTTAGGATTATTTAGATTTAATATTTTTTGGGATGGTTTTGGTGAGAATTTGTGGTGTTAATGGGAGAAAAGGTAGTGGGGAAAGGGTGGATGAGTGTTTAAAGGGTGGATGCGTGTAGATGAACTCAAGACGCATCCTTATCATTTTGGCTAATGAACCCTAACCTTCGGAGATTGGAGGAGGGTTGGGGTATCCGGGGCTCTGATTTTTAGACCCTAAACCGGTCCAAAGAAATTTTTTTTAAACTCGCCCTGTCTTTCTTCTCTCAACTAGACCCGGCCCACCCTGCTTCGACGCATATTAGTCTTTAAGTGAAAAAGAGATTAATTAGCAAAATTTTTCAGGGAAAAGGGCTAAAAGGGGAGAATCCACACGGAGAAGAACCCTAAATTTTCGTTCTTTAGAAACCCCAAATATTTTTTCCTAAAATAATTTTTAATTTTTTCAGAGAAGTTGACAAAGTTTTGTCATTTGCCCAATCAAATCTTGCGGATAAATGTTCAGATATTCCTCAAGAATTATTTGCGAAGTTGGAACAAACTTATGCACTTCTTGCTTTTGATAACCCAGAAACTTCTCCTTTTGGATATCTCATGGTTCTTTTTTCAATTTTTTTTAATTTTGAGGGATTTGTAGGAAGGGGGGAATCCTTTAGGTCTTTTGTCCCCAAGCTCCTTTTTAGTCTTTTTTCTCCCAGCTCTTTTTTTTGTTTGATAAAGGTGGGTGGTAGGGATGAGCAGAGGTATTCTTAAGAAAATTGGACCGGATTCTGCTCTCCGATCCAGAGTTTCTTCCTTCGATTTTGAGGTTTAAAGACCATCCATCCAATTAACCATGATGCGGTTGTTCTCATACGTCTCACCGTCTCGGTCTCAGCCTAAAAAATTTTTTCCTAATCAGGACTGGAGTAAATGTTGATTTTTTTGTTTGTTATTTTGAGTCGTTATTTTTATCTCGTCGGCTTTCTCCTCCTCAAAAATTTTTTTGATTTAGCGAGGGATAACATTAAATTAAAGAAAGGGGAAAAATTTGAGCTAAATTAAAAAAAAATTTTTTAAAGAGTCTGAATCAACGCAATATGCTTGCATATGAAGTCAATGAAGCAATTCTATCCACCTTAAACAAACCTTCAATTTCTCGATTGGAAAAATTGTTTCGAGTCATGGTTTGGAACCATCATCAGCAGAAAACAAAGGATGATGGACGCTTATTGACCAAAGAAAATGCTGAAGATATTTCAAAAATTTTATTTGGAATAAGAGAAGATGATGGAATGAATGAATTACTTTGAGAAGAAATTGAAGAAAAGGCTCCCCTACAAAGGATAGATGAATTAAAGGATAGATGCGCTAAAGGATAGATACGGCCAAAAACTATCAAAGGATATATGCATCAAAGGATAGATGCGCTAAAGGATAGATACGGCCAAAAGCGATCAAAGGATAGACAGCTGAATAGGTCGTTTGAGTCTGGACAAAGATGTTTAACAATCTGAATCTTCGCTGGAAAAACTGTTTTTGTGCTGCTATGGAGGGTAGGCCGGGCATGGTCTTCGCTACACGATGGCCGTGCTTCGCTACGGTCGTGCTCGCTTCCTCGCGGCGACCATAGCGAAGCGGCGGCCGTCGTTCCGCTCGACATGCCCGGCTTCCTCCGCAGCGGCAAAAACTTTTTACCGTGAATATACTAAAGTACGAATAAAATAAAAATCAGAACAGAAACATGAAATCAGAACAAAGATCAGAAAAAAACAAAGATCAGGCACTCAACAGTCGGTACTCAACTGGACTCCAAACTTTATCTATGTTTTACCCAATTTTAGAGTGTCTATACTTTAATGGATTTTACCCCTATCTATCCTTTGGCGCATCTATCCTTTGATGCATCTATCCTTTAATCGTTTTTTGCCTTATCTATCCTTTAGCAGCTTTTGGCCGCGTCTATCCTTTGATCGATTTTAGCCGTATCTATCCTTTGATTCATCTATTCTTTGAGCGGGCACGGAAGAAAAGAATGAAGAAAAAAACGAAATAAAAATTTTTTTATTTGAAAGCTTCACTGTTCTAATAAAATACATTTTGCCAATTTTTGACGTAGCTTTTGTCATTTTAAAATTGGTGGTTTATAGGGATTGTAACAACCACGAAGGGATATTTTTCTTGGTTCTATTTGATAGAGGACCCCCGATTTCCTATTGTAATGTGATATCCGCTATCTTGCAAAATTATTTTGGGCCGAGTTATGGCCATCCAAAGTTGGAACGCTAGATTCTGGGGTTATGGTGTAGACGAGCAACTTCCCTCTTCTTTTTCAGCCTCAAAAACCGTCACGCACATTTCTCTTTTTATTGTGCGTGACATTTTTTTCTCTCTGCCTTTTCCTCGTGATTGTTGTTTTCTTCTTCATCTGCATAGAGAAATGTGAAGAAAACAGAGAGAGTGAAAAAAAGAAATAGCTTGTTTTCTTTTCCCTTTTCCGGCTACTCAAACACTCCAAAAGCTAATACGGCGATGATCTCGAATTTCGTAACGCTGTCTTTAATAATACTATAAAAACCCCCCAATTCACATCCGCTTTACCAGTTTGTTCGACTTTATATTCATTTTAATCCGTATTTTAATTGAATTTTCTTTTTTCAGTAAATTTTATTATTTGACGTAAATTTATTGTTGCTGTTTGTTTTTCAGCCATGGGTATTTTTACAGTTTTTAATAGGTTTCTTATCTTTATTTTGACAGGATTTGAATCGAAAAAGACACCAAAAAAAGAAGAAAAAGGACAGGAAGCAGGGCCGAGTGATAAAAAAAGAAGGAAAAAACTCCGGAAAAGAAGGAAAAAACTCCTGAAAAAATTAAAAAAGAAGGAAAGGAAAATTCAAAAGATGGAAAAGTTAAAAAGGAAGGAAAAGAAGAATTGAAGAATGATGGAAAAATTAAAAAGGAAAAGAAAGAGGTTTCAAAGAAGAAGGAAAATGTTAAAAAAGAAGGAAAGGAACATTCAAAAGATGGAAAAGTTAAAAAGGAAGAAATGAAGAATGATGGAAAAATAAAAAAGGAAGGAAAGGAAAATTCAAAAGATGGAAAAGTTAAAAAGGGAGGAAAGGAAGAAATGAAGAATGATGGAAAAGTTAAAAAGGAAAAGAAAGAGGTTTCAAAAAAGAAGGAAAACGTTAAAAAAGAAGGAGAAGGAAAAGAAGGAAAGAAGAAGGAAAAGGTTAAAAAAGAAGGAAAACAAGCGTCATCAAAAGGGGGTATTGAAGATACCCAGGCCGTAACTTATGAGGAAGTGGAGGTGGCTTCTGTCCACTCGGTATTTTTTCTTAATTTAATTAAATTAGCTTATTCTCTTTTTACAGACTTCAACAAAATCGGAAGAAAGCGATAAAGAAGATGAGTAAAAGAAGTTAATAAAAATAGAAATTTTTTTGTCAAAAAATTGTGTTGTGATGTTTATTAAGAATCAGGGATGGAATGGGTTGAGAAATGAGCCGGGGTTTCAAAATTTTCCTAGAATCGGGTTTCGGGTCGATAAAAAGTGTTTCGGGCCGGGCCATTTAAAATTTTCCGAAAATCCAGATTTTTCGGAGCGTTTGAGGGATATTAGTGATTTGGGGACGATGAGGGGGATATCGGTGGATTTACACGAATTAAGGGTCGGGTTTCGAGTCAAAAAAAAATTCGGGGTTTGGGTAACCCGTCCTATCCCTGATATAAATATATTTTCTCGTCGTTATATAAATAAATATTTGTGCTGGATTTGTTAAGGCTAGCTAACATAGTCTCGATTTCCTTTTGTTTGTCATAGGTACCAAAATTGTTGGGTAGGGACCAAACTTTTCCTATCTTTGACCAAAATATTTTCTTTGTAGTTCAAAAATCGTCCAAAAAATCATTTTAGTTTATTGTTAGTATGAATTCTTTTCTTCTCTCCTATATTATGCAAGTCGTTTAATAGGATGTGGCCTTCTCACTTATGGCGATTTGTCTTCATTTGTTATTTATGCAATTCTCTGTTCTGCAAACATTTCAAACATTCAAATTTTTTATTCCGAACTTATGCGTGGATTGTGAGCGTCTTCTCGTCTTTTGAGCGTCTTCTCGTCTGAGCGTCTTCTCGTCTTTTGAGCGTCTTCTTCTCGTCTTTTGAGCGTCTTCTCGTCTGAGCGTCTTCTCGTCTTTTGAGCGTCTTCTCGTCTTCTCTACTACCCTCAAAAGGGTCTTATAATAGGTATCAAGGGTACTAATTCCCTAATCTAGCCTCATAAGGGCTATTCTACTACCCTCAAAAGGGTCTTATAATAGGTATCAAGGGTACCAATTCCCTAATCTAGCCTCATAAGGGCTATTCTACTACCCTCAAAAGGGTCTTATAATAGGTATCAAGGGTACCAATTCCCTAATCTAGCCTCATAAGGGCTATTCTACTACCCTCAAAAGGGTCTTATAATAGGTATCAAGGGTACCAATTCCCTAATCTAGCCTCATAAGGGCTATTCTACTACCCTCAAAAGGGTCTTATAATAGGTATCAAGGGTACCAATTCCCTAATCTAGCCTCATAAGGGCTATTCTACTACCCTCAAAAGGGTCTTATAATAGGTATCAAGGGTACCAATTCCCTAATCTAGCCTCATAAGGGCTATTCTACTACCCTCAAAAGGGTCTTATAATAGGTATCAAGGGTACCAATTCCCTAATCTAGCCTCATAAGGGCTATTCTACTACCCTCAAAAGGGTCTTATAATAGGTATCAAGGGTACCAATTCCCTAATCTAGCCTCATAAGGGCTATTCTACTACCCTCAAAAGGGTCTTATAATAGGTATCAAGGGTACCGATTCCCTAATCTAGCCACATAAGGGCTATTCTAATACCCTCAAAAGGGTCTTATAATAGGTATCAAGGGTACCAATTCCCTAATCTAGCCTCATAAGGGCTATTCTACTACCCTCAAAAGGGTCTTATAATAGGTATCAAGGGTACCAATTCCCTAATCTAGCCTCATAAGGGCTATTCTACTACCCTCAAAAAAGTCTTATAATAGGTATCAAGGGTACCAATTCCCTAATCTAGCCTCATAAGGGCTATTCTACTACCCTCAAAAGGGTCTTATAATAGGTATCAAGGGTACCAATTCCCTAATCTAGCCTCATAAGGGCTATTCTACTACCCTCAAAAGGGTCTTATAATAGGTATCAAGGGTACCAATTCCCTAATCTAGCCTCATAAGGGCTATTCTACTACCCTCAAAAGGGTCTTATAATAGGTATCAAGGGTACCAATTCCCTAATCTAGCCTCATAAGGGCTATTCTACTACCCTCAAAAGGGTCTTATAATAGGTATCAAGGGTACCAATTCCCTAATCTAGCCTCATAAGGGCTATTCTACTACCCTCAAAAGGGTCTTATAATAGGTATCAAGGGTACCAATTCCCTAATCTAGCCTCATAAGGGCTATTCTACTACCCTCAAAAGGGTCTTATAATAGGTATCAAGGGTACCAATTCCCTAATCTAGCCTCATAAGGGCTATTCTACTACCCTCAAAAGGGTCTTATAATAGGTATCAAGGGTACCAATTCCCTAATCTAGCCTCATAAGGGCTATTCTACTACCCTCAAAAGGGTCTTATAATAGGAGGGGGTTTTCCGGTATTATTCCCCTCTCAAATCCCCAAGATATATCCGTATATTCTTCGCACCCAAGGTCCCTAATTTAGAGGGATTTCCGGTATTATTCCCCTCTCAAATCCCCCAAATATATCCGTATATTCTTCTATCCCAAGGTCCCTAATTTAGAGGGATTTCCGGTATTATTCCCCTCTCAAATCCCCCAAATATATCCGTATATTCTTCGCACCCAAGGTCCCTAATTTAGAGGGATTTCCGGTATTATTCCCCTCTCAAATCCCCCAAATATATCCGTATATTCTTCGCACCCAAGGTCCCTAATTTAGAGGGTTTTCCGGTATTATTCCACTCTCAAATCCCCCAAATATATCCGTATATTCTTCGCACCCAAGGTCCCTAATTTAGAGGGATTTCCGGTATTATTCCCCTCTCAAATCCCCCAAATATATCCGTATATTCTTCGCACCCAAGGTCCCTAATTTAGAGGGTTTTCCGGTATTATTCCCCTCTCAAATCCCCCAAATATATCCGTATATTCTTCGCACCCAAGGTCCCTAATTTAGAGGGTTTTCCGGTATTATTCCCCTCTCAAATCCCCCAAATATATCCGTATATTCTTCGCACCCAAGGTCCCTAATTTAGAGGGTTTTCCGGTATTATTCCCCTCTCAAATCCCCCAAATATATCCGTATATTCTTCGCACCCAAGGTCCCTAATTTAGAGGGTTTTCCGGTATTATTCCCCTCTCAAATCCCCCAAATATATCCGTATATTCTTCGCACCCAAGGTCCCTAATTTAGAGGGTTTTCCGGTATTATTCCCCTCTCAAATCCCCCAAATATATCCGTATATTCTTCGCACCCAAGGTCCCTAATTTAGAGGGTTTTCCGGTATTATTCCCCTCTCAAATCCCCCAAATATATCCGTATATTCTTCGCACCCAAGGTCCCTAATTTAGAGGGTTTTCCGGTATTATTCCCCTCTCAAATCCCCCAAATATATCCGTATATTCTTCGCACCCAAGGTCCCTAATTTAGAGGGTTTTCCGGTATTATTCCCCTCTCAAATCCCCCAAATATATCCGTATATTCTTCGCACCCAAGGTCCCTAATTTAGAGGGTTTTCCGGTATTATTCCCCTCTCAAATCCCCCAAATATATCCGTATATTCTTCGCACCCAAGGTCCCTAATTTAGAGGGTTTTCCGGTATTATTCCCCTCTCAAATCCCCCAAATATATCCGTATATTCTTCTATCCCAAGGTCCCTAATTTAGAGGGATTTCCGGTATTATTCCCCTCTCAAATCCCCCAAATATATCCGTATATTCTTCGCACCCAAGGTCCCTAATTTAGAGGGTTTTCCGGTATTATTCCCCTCTCAAATCCCCCAAATATATCCGTATATTCTTCGCACCCAAGGTCCCTAATTTAGAGGGTTTTCCGGTATTATTCCACTCTCAAATCCCCCAAATATATCCGTATATTCTTCGCACCCAAGGTCCCTAATTTAGAGGGATTTCCTGTATTAGCCCCCTTTCAAATCCCTTTTCTTTACCCCTATAATCTTCGGACCATGGGTCCCTAATCTATAGGGATTTATCTCTATTATGCCCCTTCAAATCCCCTAGATTTACCCTTATATTCTTCGCACCCAAGGTCCTTAATTATAATTTTCAAATCAACCGATATTAGCGTTGTTCTGGCATTGTGTATTTAAAAAAAATTGTTCGCGAATAATTGTATTCGCCGCGAATTTATATTCGTTCACTAAAGTCGAACATTAATTGTTATCCATTTTATTTTTCCTAATCCCTTGTTGTATTTTCAATCGTAGATTAACAACTTAAAAGAAGATATTTTGGTCATTCCAACTATCTTTTATTATTTTTTAATAGATGGCGTCTGTGCCTCACGGTAATTTTGTGCCTCATTCATCGCCTTTATCAGTATCTTATTCTTATGGTCCACGTTCTTCACCAATGCCTCAAAACAACGAAAAAAATAAGGATGCTGAAGTGTGTTACACAAACGAGTATAATTTAAAGATATATTTTTACACGCCCAAAACGGCGCGAGGACATAACGGCGCAAAGCCATAACTTGCTTCAAGATTTAAGAATCTGACCTATTTTGTTATCAAACGATTCCTCTCATCGAGCTAGGGAGATTGGTATCAAAATTGGCAAGAGCCAGACATTTACCAGCAAGTTATGGCTTTGCGCCGTTTTGGGCACGCGCCGTTTTGGGCTGTACCCATTTTTGCTTATTTCTAAAAATTTTCAGTGCCGACATACAAAATCAGCGACCTCCAAGAACTTTGCCAAATCTTTTAAAAAATTTGAGCGCTCAAAAGAACAGCAGATCAATACTTAAAAATCCGTCTGAGGGAAGAGGAGAGTCACAAGAAAGGAGAGGTTTCAAAAATGCTTCAAATCAGAGTTTGGCTAGTAATTCTGAAAAGAAGTCTGTCAACAATAACAGCAATAGACAACCTGTACAACGCAAGGAAACTTTAAAAACTGTGGCTTTTGGATTAACTACAAAGTTGGAGGAAACTGTTTTGGTTTGATTTTTGATTATTTTTTGAACGATTTTTGGCTTTATTTTTAAGGGAAAAGAAGGGAAGGTACCTGCAACCCCTCGTGATGGCAACAATACAAAAACTATAATATTTTCTCATGAAGCACAGACCTTGCATAAATTGGTTAGTTTTCTGTTGTTTATTGATTTTAAGATTAGTAGATTGGGATGGCTTTTTACTAGAGATCGGGATTTTTGAAAATCCTGGGCCTGTTTTTGGACTCTGGATTTGATTCATTTACCTGGGCCGGATTTTGGGAGTCCAGGAAAACTCCAGGCCCAGGAAAAACCAATGAATCAAAAAATGCCTGGACCTGGACTCTGGGTACAGGAAAACCCAGTCCTTGGTCCAGAACCAGTTCGATCTTTGCTTTTTATTAACAAGTTTTATAATAGTCTCCCGTAATGGTTTTATGATTTCCATGGGGTCGTTCTTGGAATCCTTTGACCATTAATCTTTCTGTTAGCTTTATAGGACATCTTAACTCCTTTATCATAAATAGATTCTGAAATCTTGTATCCATAGGTTATCAATTACCTAGGAAGCGCAGAAAATGCCTGACTTTTACGTGGGTTGCTTTATCTCTAACCCTTCCTTTAATACAATGGAAAATTATGGTTGTTTTCGAGGGCAGCATGGATTCAGACAAGGTTCAACCAAACTTTCCCTATCTCTTCATCCTCTGAACAATTCCTTGATCTTTGACAGCAATTCTGAATTTTTTCCTATATTTTTTAGATCCAAGACCAGAAACATCAAATAGACACATTACGCGATACTATTGAAGATTTGAGGGCAGAACAGGAAAATCAACGTGTTGGGTCTCGTGAATTAATTGATATTATTTCAGGTTTTTTTAAACTTTTTAGTTTTTCAATTTCTTTTTTTTCAGCTCTCGCTACCCGTTTACAAGAAGTGGAAAAACAAAAAACTACGGCAAATACAAGTCTCCCATTAATTTCAAATTTGTCACTCAAAAATTCCAGCAAAAAAGATTTGCCAACAAAATCAGCACCAACAAAAGTTGATAAAGCGACATCGATTGAAAACGTTCCAAACAACAACCAAGAAGTCAGACAAAATAAAGAAAATAGAGGAAATTGTGCTGATTTGGTACTTCATCAACGTAATGATTTTCTTCGCCGGTTGGAATCTGAAATGACTAAAAATCCTGTTTTTGAGCAAAGATTACATTCAATGTTGAGGGTTTGGTCTGAAGATAGTTCTGTTCCTCCTGCTATTTATAGGTTTTTATTTTTATTAAGGGTTGGGTCTTGGGCATGATGTTATTGAAACGTTGAAATACCAAGCGCTATAATCAGGCTCGTAACCCGGATTTTTTTGGAAGGGGGTGGGGGACAAGACGGAAAATTTCGAGAATTTTGGGGATCGTAGACGAAAAATCACTTTTCTTCAGTCCCCTCCCAAATTTTTTTTTCCCCATTTCGGGGAGGGCGGGAGCGGATTCCACCCATACCCTCCTGGTTGCGGCCTGCCTATAATATCTGTTGGAATGGCGTCATAAAGGTATTTCGTTGCTTTGTTATTTCGAAGGTTTCGGGGTTGGGGTTATAGAATAGGTTCGGGGTTAACTAACCAGGTTTGAGCACTCATCCGTAAAATAAACGGGTGAATTTTTTCCTATGGTTATGTGTTTTTGCGTATTGCTTTTGCGGACATTTTGCACTATCGGCTATTTTCTAAATTAAAATAAATTTTTTTTAAGTAAAAACAACAATCTTCCACAAGAAAACGAGGAAAGTTGTGGTCCGTCAATGGTTATGAGAGTGACAACTCAACGACAAGAAATATTTTATGCATCTCCAGGACGTTGTTCTAATAATGTTAGGCGATTCCCTCGTGCTGAAAATATAAGGGATGGTGACAGGCAGAGACATAATTTTCGAAGAGAGAGGGAAGAGAATAATCATAAGAACACAAAACCGAATATTAAGGTTAGTTAAATTAAATTTTTATTTTCGTTTTTCTGTTCAAAAAGGGGCAAAAAGGCTCAAAATCCTTGCTAGAAAGGGCACATTCTCTCGGACACCTCGCAACCTCTCTATGTTAAGGAAAGATTTTTAGGTTGATCGATAAAGTTGGAGGTCAGAATGTCTTAAGACAGGGCTCCGATTCCTACTTTTTTAAAAGTATTCTACTTTTAAATCGACCTCCATACTTACGAAATTGAATTTATACTTTTTTGAAAGTATATACTTTTTTTTGATTGAAAATGAAATTGGGAAAGGGATTGGGCAAAAAAGTGAATTTTTTGGCCTACGGCCTTTGAAATTCTCAAAATTTTCGCCTGCGGCGCTGAAAAAGGAAGAAATCTGGCTTAAGAACCTCCAAAATTCTCAAAATTTTCGCCTGCGTCGCAAAAAATAGATTTTGTGGCGCCTTCGGCGCCACAAAAGGTGCATTGAAATTGACAAAATGCTCAGTTGAAACAAGAAATTATTAAAAAAGATTCATTTAAAAGAGAAATATAAAAGATTTGAGGACGAATAAATATTTTCTAATTTAATTTTGAGACTACTTTTTATTTACAAATTTTCTCCCTATATACTTTTTAATCAAGATTTTGATACTTTTGAGTGGCATTTTGTCGATAGGAGCCCTGTCTTAAGAATTAATCTCCCTTTTTATTTGTGTAGCTCAAGAGAATTTTAAGAGGGCACATAAGGCCTGGGCAAATCTAAATTAAATAAATTTTTAGGTTGTTGAATTGGATGATGATGGAGAAGAAAAAGAAAATAGCTTAAATGAAGAGACTAATGATCATCATCGTCATCAAACAATGTCAAAAAATGTTCGTAGAAGTGAACAAATTGGGACAGACGAAGCTGCTGAATTTTTTCCACAAAGACAAAGTTTTGAAGATGAAAATGATGAGGATGACGGGGAAGAATTTTTTGTCGGAGGTGATCATCAGGAGAGAAGAGGACGGGAACGAGGTTTGTTAATTTTTTTAATTTTTGCGGACAATTTTTTTGCGGACAATTAAGGTTGGCTTCAAATAGGGTTGTTCATTGACTTGTACAAGGTGCTATCTTATAATTTTTATTTGCTTTTCTCTGACATATTTGTTCCTTTTTTAAATATCCGTTAAAAAATGTTAGTCCGCAAGTTTTTTCCCCAAATTTTAAATTTTTTGTCCGCATTTTTTCCTTCAACTTTTTTGGGGGTTCATTTATAATAAAAATTGTCGTCCGCAAGATTTGTTCGCAAATTTTAAATTTTTTGGGATTTCATTTATGAATAAAATTTCTTTTAAGATTCAAGCCATCATCATCACAATAATACTCATCATAATCAAACTTTTGATGATGGTCACGATAATAATAATAATAATAACCAACATCGTTATCCATTTACTACTCGACGTCGAAAGCGTGAAGCAACATCTACAATACGAAATCGTTACCGTTAATAAGGGATGAGGAAAAAAATTATTTTTTTTATTAAAATTGAGGAAAGGTTATTTTATGAAAATATTTATTAATCTATTTTTTTCTGGGTAAGGGGCAACTCAAAGAATTCCAAATCACGGAACAGACAATTAAAGGAACGACTAAATCATAAAATATTTTAAAAATAGGAATTTTTAAAAAAATCTGAATATTTTTAAAAAATACGAATTATAAGAAAAATTCTGATTTTTAAAAATATTTCATGATTTTTAAAATATTCCATGAGTTATTCCTTGCTTGTATCCGCAAAATACTTGCAGATAAATTTTTTGTCCGCAAAAGTTTTGCGGACAAAATTGCTCTTTTCTGTTCCTTGCCTTGTCCGTTCCTTGTCTTGTCCGTTCCTTGAGTTAGCCCGACACGTTTTTTCTTGGATTGTTTTTTTAACTACAAAAATCTCTTTTTGCTATCAGTAATTTATTTTGTATGTTTGTTCTATTTTTGGGGTTTATTGAATAAAACAAGTAAATATTTATTTATTTTAAATTTAAATTGATATATATTTTTGTCACATCGTTTCTATCGATTCTTATTTTTGTTTTAATTTTCTCTTTGTTTATTAATTTTTGTGTAATGGATGGCGTGGGGTTGTGTCCGCAAAAAATTTGCGGATAAATTTTAGTCCGTAAAATATTTGCGGATAAAATAGATCTTTTTTCTGCTTTTATGAGGACTTGTTTTTTGTTTTTACCGGCTAGTAAGGCCCCTTTTATCCGAATAATGAAAGGCCGTATTTTTGTATCGATAAAAAATTGCAAATTTGTCCGCAAAATACTTGCGGATAAAACTTGCATTTTTTGTTTAATATCAACTTCGCCTTTTGATTTTTCCCCGGGATTCCACTTTGTTTTTTATACGATTCCCTACCTAAAAATGAAAATCGGGTATTTGTGTATCGATAAAGAGAAATGCAAATTTGTCCGCAAAAAATTTGCGGACAAACTAGTGGATATTTAACTTTTTTTTAAAATAGTGAATGGAAGGCAATAAATTTAATGAAACTGATTTGTCTGTGTTAATTCAATTTGGAGATGAATCTTCTGAAATAATTACTGATGAATGTGCTGGTGGATTGACTCAATTATTGCTTTGTGCTGGCGAAATTTATTATGGACAATTCGTCTTACTTGGGTTTCTTTTATTTTATCAAAGAATTATTTTTTATTTTTTAGCTATAACGGTGCTGAATTAACTGGAGAACAGAAGAATCATGCAAATAATCGAAAAAATTTTTCCAAAATGTTTTTCAAACGCCGTTTGGAGCCGAATGGAATAAAGAAAGGTTCAGTCACTAAATTGAGTGGAACTGCTGCAGCTAACAAAGCAAATGCTTTGCGTGATTCTAATAGACATACAGTGGCTTTTGGTTATGGAAAGAATGGAACTGTTGTTGTAGAATATTTGTTAGACCCTACCAAGGATATGTTTCAGGTTTGGTGTATTTTAAGCAAGTTTTGGGGTTATATCACCTCAACAATATTTTTTATAAGATCACTAATTTTTCTATCTAGTTGAGGGGAGCTATCCAGTCGAGTGATCTGGTTTGGAATTTAGACGTCCGGCTGATTTCAGACTGATAATATTAGTCTGTTGTTATTTCATAGGAAGCGCGCCGTAATGCCAAAACAGAAATACCAAAACGCCAAAATTAGGACCAGCTCCAACCCAAATCCTTTAGAGTTCAAGCTCGATATATTTACTAGGATAGCACGTCTCTGAGTTATTTAAGCGTAATAACTTTTTTCTGATGTGTGTTGACCAAAAATTTTTATTAATTCAATTTTCTTTTTCAGATTGGCCGTTCTTCAGAAGAACAAATAGACTTTACAATAGTTGATACATGGCTAGCTTCGGGTAATGGACATCCTTCTCCTTGTTGTGGTGGACATAATAAAAGCCGTCATTCAAGTCACCGAGAAGAACATTCCGAACAAAAAACAATTAGTTCAACAATATCTCGCTATGCTTGTCGTATTTTGGCTGAAAGGGACAAACCTCACAGAGTTTGGATTTTTTTGGGTTTTTGACTATTTTTGACTTTTAAAGGTTCAAATTTTTGCTGCTGGTTTTGACTCTTCTCGTAATATTTTTCTTGGAGAAAAAGCTACCAAATGGCAAAAGAAAAATGGGGAATTTGATGGATTAACTACAAATGGTGTGCTTATATTACATCCAAATTGGTGTAACGGGGAAGAACTTTCGGTTAATTTCTTTTTGGTCTAAAAATTTTTTTTTGTTTTTAGGACGATACAGGGGAAATGTACATTTGGAGAGAAGGTTATATTTAAATTTAAAAATATTTAAAATTTATTTTTGTGTTTAGTCTCGGTAGATGGAGATATTTACACTTTGCGTTCAGCTCGATCTTCAACTCAACGTGGTGCTCTAGTTTTGGGTGAAACCAATGAACTTCAGGTTGATTTGGAAAAATATTCTAATTACTTTGTTTATTGCCTGGGCAAGGGTTCATCTAGAAGGGAGCTGATGTTAAGGGGATACGTTCTCTGGATGGTCTCGAAATTAATTTTTTTGTTAAAATGATTGTCTGCTTTATATAATAGCTCAACCTTCCCTCTTCTGCTTCCAAGGGCATATCCAAGGGGTTGATTTCGGGGGCACCCCCCCTCCCCTGGCTGCGCCCTTGCCTCTTTTTTCTTTAGAAAACCCACGGAATAAATGCTGATTTTCCTATTCACCCAATTCAGGACGGTACTCTAATCGATCTTTGTGGCGCAACACTTTTGTGGCGTTCTGCTGAAGGTTTAAAACAAAGTCCATCAAAAGTCGAATTAGAACATAGACTTGACGAACTCAATGCTGGCAAACCTCAATGTCCAGTCAATTTAAATACTCTGGTTATTCCAAGAAAGCGACACAGCAAAAGTAGCAGTAGTTCTAAACAGCCTTATGTAAGAAAATATTCTATTGAATTTTTAAAGAATTTTTTGTAGGTCTATTTCCGTTGTGGACATGTTCAAGGAAAACACAATTGGGGAGGTACTATATTTTAGATTTATTTATTTTTTGAAACTGTTATTTTTATGAGTAGAAAAGTTTTTCTTGGAAGTTTTTAAAATTAAAATTAAAGTCCGCAAATATTGTCTGCAAGTTTAGTCCGAAAGTTTTGTCCGCAAAATTTTGTCCGCAAATTTAGTCTGCAAGTGTTTCTACAAAATTTTTTTTTCATATTTTCAACTATTTTTTGGGGCATTCAGGGAAAATAGTCAATGGCAAAAAAGTCCTTAAATTTTGCCCAAACCTAATCCTCAAATTTTATTTTTTCCTGTATACTTTTTTAAAATTATTTTTGGAGACATTCAAGGATATCCAATAAAAAAAATTTTTTCAAGTTCAAAAGAATGGCTCTGCCGTAACATTTCGTTGTCCAATATGCCTCGTCGACTCAGAACGTGTTGCTCAATTAACAATGGGCATGGAATCAGCCTTTCATCTTGACTCGGGTCTTTTGGAATATTCATTTAATCCGTGTGGACATATGGCTAGTAAAAGGACTGTTCGGTTTGTTTTTTGAGAAATTTCGACTAAAAAATTTTTTCTCTTTTAAAGTTATTGGTCTCGTATAACAATGCCTCATGGCACCAATTCATTCCATCCAGTATGTCCATTCTGTACATCTCTACTTACTATAGACAAGCCATTTGTTCGATTGATTTTTCAGGATCATTGCTATGAAAATTGAATTTTGAATAGGAGAGAAAGGAAAGGTTTATTTTTAGTTTTTTTTTGTAAAATGTTAATTTATATGAGTGTCTCGTATGACGAATCTAAAGAAAAAAAATTTTTCTTCCAAACAAAATTTGGTACTTTTCCGTTAATCGGCAGCAAACGGAGTATTAGTCGACTTTAAACAGCTATAACTTTTTCATGCTTGATCCAATACATTTTATATCATTCTAAAGCCCTCGATAAGCTCTATTTTTTACTAAACTATGGATCAGGTCTGATCACCCAAAAAAAGTTACAAGTCAATAAGTGCAATAAATCGTTGTTTTTCGCTATTATTGGGGTATAACTTTTTTATGAGTGATCAGATTTTATTTATCCAACGTCGGTTAAAAGATAGAGCTTATCTAGGGCTTTCGAATCATATAAAATTCATTTGTTTTGGATCAAGCAACAAAAATTTATAGCTGTTCAAATTCGGCTGTTACTCAGTTTGCGGTCGATTAACGAAAAAGTACTCAAAAAATTCTTCCAAAAGAATTCTATTTTGTGTGTGTCTTTTTTAATTTTTTAATTAAAATTGAAAAAAATATCCTGCAATTGAATCTTTTATTTAAATAAAAAATAAAATTGTTCTTTCATTCACCAAAAAATTAAACTTAAAAAAATGTTCAAAAATTCTGTCATAATCTGCTTATACCTAAGAAATCTTTAAGTAAAGAAAAACGAAATTAGTCTCTGTTTTCTCATCTGTTTATTTTATGACTAGCAAAAAAACACTCGATTAAAGAAATACCGGAAAAAGTTGGAATAAAAAAAGTCCGCAAAATCTGTCCAAAAAAATTTAATAAATTTTGCGGACAAATTTTTGCGGATTTTTTTTTCAAAATTTTTGCGGACTTTTTCAAAGATTTTAAAAATAAATTTTTTTTAATCAAGTATTTTTTTTTGCTTTTGTTAACATTCTCGCCTCTCTACTTTTTATTTTTATTTCTTTTATATCTCAACTCTATTTCTGATATGAATATTCATATACTTGAATATATTTAATGAAAATTTTTTTTGTATTTCCTGTATCTAAAAATTAAATTGATGATTGTATTGCCTATTTGCTGAGAAACAATAAAATAAAAAATTTTGAATAAAATTTGAAAATGTGGAAATTTTTTTGAGATTTTTTAAAAGGAAATTTGGTTAATTTTTCCATTGTATTTTTGGTGTTTTTGAATTTTTAAATTTAATTTTTTTAATTTTCTTTTGTTTTTGGAAAGGAAATGGAAGCGGTAAGCATTACAACAACAATTTCTGGAGCCCCTCTATATTTAGGGGATTTGGAAAAATGTGGAATTGCGACGTCTAATAATTTGAGAGAAATTTTGACTACATGTGCTGATCCTGTGGAGGCTATTAAACAATTTCAAGTGGCCAATAGTGTTCAGGTTTGTGTATTTTGCTTTATTTTTTGGGTAAAAATGATGGTTGGGAGACTTGAAGGGGAATACTGGTATTTATTTTAAATTTGGTTATCCAATAGATGTGTGTGGAACAGGTTTGCCGCCGAACCCGAAACCTGGCCTTTTTCTGTACCCGTGACCCGAAATGAAAACGCTCCAACCCGAAACCCTTACCCGAAGATTTTGTGTACCCACGGCAACCCTGGTGTGGAATCTAGGGTTTGTGTCCGCTGTGGAGCAAAGGAATGTAGTTTGTCCGCAGCTTTCCTTAAGTAGTCGGGGAAATTTTATATGAGGCGCTTTTTTCTCGCTTAGAATTTTAAATTTTGTTGAATTAAAATTTTTTTTATATAATTAAGAAATTAATATTTTTCAGCTCCCTTCACTAAAACCTGTAATGAAGCTGTTGGATTTACATGGAATAAGTAGGGCGGATTATCATGAAACGGTTTGTATTTAATTTAAATTTATTTTTAGTTAAGCTTAAAATTTATGAAGTTGTTAATCATGTTTGTGGTCAAGTGGTTAAGGCTTTGGGTTTTGATTTTTATAAGCCTGGGTTCGATTCCTTTCGTTTCCTTTTATTTTTCCCTTCAAGGATTCTAGTCTGGAAATTTGTTTAAATGATTTTTTCAATTAAAAAAATTAATTTTTAAAAGGTTATTACCGAACTCACCGAACGTTTAGTATCAAAATTGCGTTCACTCGGCAACAATCAAACACCTGAAAATGTCCATAGACTAGAACGACATTTGGAACGCTGTTTTCGTCTTTATCGTGTTCCGAGGATTAGGCCTATAGTTTTGGAAACACTTGCTAGATTACCTAAAGTTGCGGACAGGTTTTTAAAAAATATTATTTTTTTTTTCAAAATTTAATTTTAATAATAGATATTTGAAGCTCATAATTTGTGACAAGGTTTGTCCGCAAGTTTTGTCCGCAAATATTTTTTTGTCCGCAAAAATTTTTTTGACTAAAAAATTTTGAAAAAAAACTCAAAAATCTTTTATGAACTCTGAAAGCTTGTCAAAAATTAAGAAAATATTTTTAAAGGTTTAATTTCCTTCTAAAAAATAATTTTTAGGAGCTCTATGATCAATGTTCAGTCTCTGTCCGTCAGCAAATTTGGGTTAAAAACGAAACTCTTTTTCTTGAATCAATCGAACCCATTTTGGATAGTTACATTTCTGAGGAAAGAAGACAGCATTTAATTTTTGGAGAAAAAGGTTCTGATGTGTTATATGAATCGATAGGTGAAGGACACGGCCAGCAATTACTTTCCCCAGGCATAAACGTTACTAGCAGCTTTTTTGCTGGGGAAGTAGCTACTAAACAGAGACGTCAAAGGAAACAAGTGCAAGGTTTTTATTTTAATTTTTGAGAGGAAAAATCCGCAAGTTTTGTCCGCAAATTTTTTTTTCAAGTTTGCGGACAAATTTTTTTCCATTCAAAATTGCGGACTAAACTTGCAGACTTTTCTTTAAATATAATTTTTCTATTGTTTTTTTGTAGAATTAATCTCAATGATTGGGTTAAGAGAACAACTCTATACTAGGCTAGTGGTAAATTTAAAAATTAAATTTCCTTTCAAATTCAAATTTTTTTCAAAGGATACTCTTCGTGAACGTTTTTTGGCAACAGAAAATCCTTATTATTGTTCTCTGCGGTTTGATTTATTAATGGCACTTAGAGATGTAAATATGGAATTTTGTGGGAAAGTAGGTCTGTTTTTTTGTTTATTTTTTAAATTTTCCAAAAAATTTTTTTAGATGTTTGTCACGATTTTGCTTGGTGTTTAGATGCTTGTTCGAAACATTTGAGAACTAAACATTTGGGTTATTTTTTAATTATAAAATTTTTTTTAAATATCTTATTTTAAGATGTTCAACAATTAAATAAACTAAAGACGTTATTAGAAAGTGGTGGTGGCGGAAAGAAATGCCAAAACAAGGTTTTTTGTTTTTGAAATTAACAATAAGTAGGGTTAAATTTAGTTAATTTTCTTTATTTTTATTTTTGTATAAGTTGATTAAATAATAGTTTGTTGTTTAGTGATGTTGTGGTGTAGTTGGTTGTGTGTTTGGTTCTTACGGCAATAGACTTGGGTGCGAGTCCTCTTGGAGGAAAGCTATCTTTTTATCACCCCTGTTATTTTATTTTTTAAGTTTCTACTTTAAAAAAATTTTTTTTTAAATTTCAAAAATTCAAAAAAAATTTTTTTACTTCTAAAAATTTTTTCGTTCATTTTTACAACTATTTTTTATTTATTAAAAATGTATTTTATTTTTAAAGGCAATAATAATTCCTGAAATGGCAATGATCGCAGGAGATCCCCATATACTTCATTTAATTGCTTCTTTCGCTGTCAAAATGTTGAGAGATAATGCTGCTAGTCCTCGTCCACATTTGCCTAAAGAAATGGGTTCTTTACAATTACTTTTAAAATTGTTAGTAATGGGCATCCACTGCAAGTCTTTATTGTTGGGAGAAGAACAGTTAATTAATTTAATTGAGGGAGAGTTGAAAGAAGTTGTTGGACACTTTTTACCTTCTTTTTCTACAATGCTTGTACAGGTTTTCTTTAAAAATTATTTTTTGGGGTTTTTAATTTGGCTTAAGCTTCGGACCCAACCTCTAAAGTGGTACGTAGGAAGGCTATAAAAGATTCTCTTCGATTAAAGGGTGGGTTAGCTGATCCGTGTGAGACATCGGATATCCGAACCCGATATTTAATCCGTACTTTTTTCTTACGGAATATCTTGTTCCCTCTACAATGCTTTTAAGTAATAAGGTTGCTTCCGCTTCTATCATGTGCCCAAACCTGAATTTTGGATATCCCCACTTTTGGATCCAGATATCTGGATCCGCTAACCCTGCTTTTAAAGGTTTATTTCGCTTCCATCTAGGGTTGGGGTTTTCGTGTCGGGCCGACGTTCAAGTCGACCGAGTCTCTTTAGTGCCAAAATTCGATGCCCGACTCGATCTTTCGGATCGGGCCCCCAACCCTACTTTCATCCACTACGAATTTCACCTTTCTCTTTCCCATTTTCCCTGTTTTAATTCATATTTTTACTTCTTTACAGGATGCAATCCGTGCAGAATTAACGCTTTCAACTCCAATAAACCTTCCTTCTCCAACAGAAGAATTTTTATCGTTCGATCAACGACCTCCTTCAATTGATAAATTTATAAAAGAAAAATATTTATGTTCACTTTTGTGGTTACACCATTTAGTTTTGGGTGGTGAATTTTGCCCTATAAGTGGAACAATTAAAAGAAGACAATTATTTGACCCTTCAAATGCTTTTAGATATTGTGAACCTTTAATATGGATGGCCAAAAATGTAAATTAAACATTAGTATTTTTTAATTTTAAAGGGTAGGGTTAAGAAATAGGATGTCGGGGTTCGGGTCGGATTTTAAAAAAATTTTCTTTGGCTCGGGTTTCCAGTCGAAAAAGGGTCAAGTTTCCGGTAACCCGACCTAATAAATTGCACATGGCATGGGTGGGGTGTACGCAAAATTTTCGTCCCTGGAAATTCCGTTTCTAGATTTTTTGGAACATTCGTCTCCAAATTTTCGGAATTTCCGTCTTGTCGAAATTTTCTTCTTTGTCGATTTTTTTGAACTCATGGTCTTATAAACTAAACCAGAGCCAATTTGGCTTGTTACTCTATGTGTGTAGGGGAGAGAGGGAGATGTCAAAAAGATAGCCTCTATTTACGATACCTCTCATTATAAGCTCAATTTTTCTTTGGGGTTTAATTTTTTTTGAAGGTCCAACCGTTTTAATAATTAAATAATTTTTTTAAGTTAGCAATCAAAGATCCATGGGTACAATTACTAGTCCAAAAATTAATGCAATTCCCAGCATGTCTTTCAAATGAATTAACAGCTAATTTATTTATTCAACAATTTTTTATTCCAAATTTGAAGGTTTTTTTTTAAATTTTTTCTTGAGAATTTTTTAAAAAAATTTCAAAAAATTTTTTTAAAATTTTTTTAAAAAAATTTTTTTCAGCGTATTCCTAGTGCCAAATTTAATTTGCTTCGTTTAACTTGTCATCATCGTTCAACTATTCCCTTAAAAATTTTTGTAAATTCTTTGGAAGAATTGTTAAATATATTTAATAAATGCCAAGAATATCTGAAGGAATTGGAGGAAGAAAAAGAATTGGAAGAGGGGGAAGTTGGGAATGAAGAGGAGGAGGAAGAGGAAGGAATTAATGATAAAATATTGTGCCAAGCTTTTATTAAAGAATTTGGGAAATTGAAAGAATTGATGGAAGAGGTTTTCTTTTTTTTTAATTTTTTTAAATAAGAAGACGAAGATATTTGCGGATTGATACTTGCGGACATTTAAAATTAGAAAAAAATTTTTTTAATGGATACCTCGAAATTGAATATGATATTAGAATTAAATATTTATTTGAAATTAGCATTGTCCGCAATGTGTCTTTTGTTCGCAAATTTAGTCCGCAATTAAAAAAATTTTAGTTATATTTTTGCTCTTATTTTCTGAAAAATAGCTTACCTAAGCTAATGTAAAAGTATCTATTTGTAGCTCCTAATTTTAAAATAAGATTCTATATTTTTAACAGTTGTCCGCAAATTTTGTCCGCAAATTTCATTTGGTCAAAAAAATTTTTATCGTTGAATTTTTTTAACAATTCTGACCCTACTTTTTAAGGACAAAATTTTTTATCTTCTCGATCCTCTAATTTATTTAAAAAAATATTTTTATTAAAAAAATATTTTTCAGGCAAAAATATCGCGTGGAGGTGGCCCTCCCCCACTCCCACAACAATTATCAACATCTTCATCTTCACCATCAATTACTAGTTGTAGTAGTAAAGAAAGTCGTACAAGTAATTTAGAAGAAAAACAACAACAATAATTATATTTATTTTTTATTTATTATTTTTTATAAATAAATTTTTTTTTAATTTTATTTTTGAAAATTTTTTAAAAATTCTATTGAATTTTTACGTATTTTTTTTAATTAAAAAAAATTTTTTTAATTTTAATTTTATTTTTAGATATTTATTTAATTGAAAATTTAATTATGCAAGCGATTAATACTCGAGAGCAATTTGAGGCCTTTATTAATTCTGATGGGTATATTTTTTAAATTAATTTTCAATTAATTTTTTAATTAAAAA